AGTGCATGTGTGCCCGGCTCACCTCCGCGCCATGAATGAGAACGAGCGGCTTGAGTCACGTGCATGTGTGCATGTGTGTGCACATGTGCGTACGTGCATGCAAGTACAAGTTGTGTGCAGGTATGCCGGCTCACCTCCGTGCCATGAATGAGAATGAGCGGCTTGAGTCGCTCACACACTGCATCCAGCGCTGCGGAATCCACCACTTGGAATAGCGGTACCTGTGGAGGGGGGGGGAGGGGAATGAAGGGACGGACAGATGAGGGAACAGGGTAGGTTGCCTTCTCATTCTCAGTGGTTTGACTGACTCTTCACTCTTCCTTCTTTCGAGGCGTCTCAAAATGAGAGAACAGGTTACGCCCTCTGTCCACTCAAGCCTCACCACCGATGAGGGAACAGGGTAGGTTGCCTTCTCATTCTCAGTGGTTTGACACACTCTTCACTGTTTCTTCTTTCCCAACCTTCTCCTTTCATCGCACATTCGTCACCAGATCAAGGCACCGATGGCGTTTGATATTCCACCGAACGCTCTTTTGGGCATGCTGCGGATCAAGCCCCCTTCACCCATCCCCCCCTTCACCCATCCCCCCCTTCACCCATCCCCCCCTTCACCCATCCCCCCCTTCACCCATCCCCCCCTTCACCCATCCCCCCCTTCACCCATCCCCCCCTTCACCCATCCCCCCCTTCACCCATCCCCCCCTTCACCCATCCCCCCCTTCACCCATCCCCCCCTTCACCCATCCCCCCCTTCACCCATCCCCCCCTTCACCCATCCCCCCCTTCACCCATCCCCCCCTTCACCCATCCCCCCCTTCACCCATCCCCCCCTTCACCCATCCCCCCCTTCATCCCCCCCTTCACCCATCCCCCCCTTCACCCATCCCCCTCTTCACCCATCCCCCCCTTCACCCATCCCCCCCTTCACCCATCCCCCTCTTCACCCATTCCCCTCCTCATCAATCCCTCTTTGTGCTCTCAAGCCCTGTCCTGCTCCTCTATCGGCACATGCTTCATGTATACCTGCTTCACCAGTTCAAGGCACAAGTGCCGTTTGATGTCTCGCCGCACGCTCTTGGGCATGCTGCGGATCAGCCCCTCCTCATCGATCCCCCTCGTGGCTGTGAAGTTCTGCTGCTCCTGCCCCTTCAGGCCTGATATGTATAAGGTCTCTCAACATGCCTCTGCTCACCTTCTTAACAAGACCAAGGCACAGGTGTCGTTTGATGTCTCTCCACACGCTCTTGGGCATGCTGCGGATCAGCCATTCCTTACAAGGAGTCTCACTGAGACTGTCTCAACATGCCTCTGCTCACCTTCTTCACCAGGTCAAGGCACAGGTGTCGTTTGATGTCTCTCCGCACGCTCTTGGGCATGCCGCGGATCAGCCCCTCCTCATCGATCCCCCTCCAGCTCTGTGATATTCTGCTGTCCCTGTCCCTTCAGGTCTGACTGATGATACACAGTGTCATAGCACGCCTCGTACGTACCTTTTTTACCAGTTCAAGGCACAAGTGCCGTTTGATATCCCTACGAACACTCTTGGGCATGCTGCGAATCAGCCCCTCCTCATCGATCCCCCTCCAGCTCTGTGATATTCTGCTGTCCCTGTCCCTTCAGGTCTGACTGATGATACCCAGTGTCATAGCACGCCTCGTACGTACCTTTTTTACCAGTTCAAGGCACAAGTGCCGTTTGATATCCCTACGAACACTCTTGGGCATGCTGCGAATCAGCCCCTCCTCGTCGATGCCCCGCGTAGCAGTGAAGTTCTGCTGCTCCTGCCCCCTTCAGGCTCTATGTACAGAGTCTCAGACTCTCAACGAGCCTCTTACCTTTTTGACCAGTTCAAGGCACAAATGCCGTTTGATATCTCTCGGCACGCTCTTGGGCATGCTGCGAATCAGCCCTTCCTTACAAGGAGTCTCACTGAGACTGTCTCAGCAAGTCACCTACCTTCTTCACCAGTTCAAGGCACAGGTGCCGTTTGATGTCTCGCCGCACGCTCTTGGGCATGCTGCGGATCAGCCCCTCCTCATCGATCCCCCTGGTCGCAGTGAAGTTCTGCTGCTCACCAGATAGAGGCTCAATTGCCCCGGTATCCTCTCCTCCCCTGCTCACCTTCTTCACCAGGTCAAGGCATAGGTGTCGCTTAATGTCTCGCCGCACGCTCTTGGGCATGCTGCGAATCAGCCCCTCCTCATCGATCCCCCTGGTCGCAGTGAAGTTCTGCTGCTCCTGCCGCAGCACGCGCTTCTGCAGGGCAGGTGGCAACTGGTGGCGGTTCATCCACCAGGTCAGGTCCCTCCTCCGCAGCTGCATCTCCTCCATTCGCGATGTGATGCTGTGAAGGAAAACCTGGGCGTGGGAAGAGGATTGGTAGGGGAAGTGGATGGGCAGGGGATGGGGTGGGGGTGTCCAGGGCAGGTGGGAACTGGTGGAGCTTCTGCCACCAAGTTAGACGGTTTTGGAGTCGACTCAAAGACCCCCGTCATCGCAGTGAAGTTCTGCTGCTCCTGCCGCAGCACGCGCTTCTGCAGGGCAGGTGGCAACTGGTGGCGGTTCATTTACCAGGTGAGGTCCCTCCTGCGCAGCTGCATCTCCTCCATCCGCGATGTTATGCTGTGCAGAAAGACCTAGAATGTGAGGGTAGGATTGGAGGGGATAGGTGTGGATAGGTGGGGATGGGGTGGGGATGGGAAGGGCAGGTGGCAGCTGGTGGCGGTTCATCCACCAGGTGAGATCCCTCCTGCGCAGCTGCATCTCCTCCATCCGAGATGTGATGCTGTGAAGGAAAACCTGGGTAAGGGAAGAGGATAAGTAGGGGAAGTGGATGGGCAGGCAGCGGACAGGGTGGAATGGGATGGGACGGGGATGGTGATGGGGTGGGGATGGGTGAGGGTGGGGATGGGTGGGGATGGGTGGGGATGGGGCCACGACAGGTAGTAACTGGTGGTGGTTCATCCACCAGGTGAGACTCTTCGCCCTGCTTTTCCTTATGAGCAGCATGGAGGGCATGAGTCCCGCTAGCACCATGATGACAGCGAAGGTAGCTTTCGTTGCAAGACAACTCAATATTAGCACATGCTCCTGGATATTTCCAATGAGCTGGGTAAAGAGCATAAGCCCTGACAGGACCACGGTGACCGCATGGTGCTGGCACACTCATCCTCGCAATAAGGCGTTCCGTTACAACTTTCAAGAACACACACACCTGAATATTCCCAATGAGCAGGGTAAATAGCATAAGACCCGATAGCACCATGATGACAGCAAAGGTGGTTTCCACAAAATTGGTGCTGGGGACGAGCGCATTGCCGAAGGAGCTGAGGGGGGTTCAAAGGGGTTTGGGGGGGTGTGTGGTGGCAAAGAAAGGTCCGAGGGGGCAGGTGGAGAAAAGCGGTGAAGGGGAGAGGGGGCGAAGTGGAGTAAGAGGGAAGGTGGTCTCCACAAAATTGGTGCTGGGGACGAGGGCGTTGCCGAAGGAGCTGAGAGCAGTTCAGGGGGGTTGGGAGGGATGTGTGGAGGCAAAGGAAGGGGCAGGCGGAGATGGGAGGGGGGAAGGGGAAGGGTGAAGCGAAGCAGCGGGTTCTGCAGATTGTTTTTGAGAATTCTCAAAAACAATCTGCAGCAGCAGGAAGGGTGAAGCGAAGCAGCGGGTTTCCAAAAAGTTGGTGCTGGGGAAGAGAGCATTGCAGAAGCTGTGGGGAGGGAGGAAAAAAAGGGAGGGGGATATGGTTGGCCAAAGAAAATCTTTGCGACATGTGGTCAAAGTTGGCCAAAGAATATCTTGGCGACATGTGGTCAAAGTTGGCCAAAGAATATCTTGGCAACATGTGGTCAAAGTTGGCCAAAGAATATCTTGGCGACATGTGGTCAAAGTTGGCCAAAGAATATCTTGGCGACATGTGGTCAAAGTTGGCCAAAGAATATCTTGGCGACATGTGGTCAAAGTTGGCCAAAGAATATCTTGGCGACATGTGGTCAAAGTTGGCCAAAGAATATCTTGGCGACATGTGGTCAAAGTTGGCCAAAGAATATCTTGGCGACATGTGGTCAAAGTTGGCCAAAGAATATCTTGGCCAAAGTTGGTGCTGGGGCCATCTTTCATCAGCTGCAGCGCCATGTGGTAGATGCCAAACTTGAACGCGCCATCTCTTACAGTCACGGTCTTTACTGAGTGACTAAACAGCATACGCACCTGAGAGTCATTATACCGAAAAACAGGGCAAAAGAATATCTTAGCGACAGCAGAGCCATCCTTCATCAGCTGCAGTGCCATGCTGAATATGCCAAAGTTGAACGTGCCATTTCTTAAGGATTCTCACCTTAGAGTCATGATTCCAAAAAAGAGACCAAAGAAAATCTTGGCGACAGCAGAGCCGTCTTTCATGAGCTGCAGTGCCATGTTGTAGATGCCAAAGTTGAAATCCCCATTCCTTAGGGATGCACCACCATTCCCACCTGAGAGTCATGATGCCAAAGAAGAGTCCAAAGAAGATCTTGGCAACAGCAGAGCCTTCCTTCATCAGCTGCAATGCCATGTTGTAGATGCCAAAGTTGAAATCCCCATTCCCCTCGAAGCACGTCGTCTCGAGAGTAGCGTTGGCGCCCCATGCGGCCCATGCTGGGCTCACTTGAGCGGTCGTTGTCTCGTATGCTTCGGGGCATGTCACGTAATTGGGGTTGCACACAGACGTGGGGACCTGGGAAAGGGGGAGGGGGGAGAGATTGGAGGAGAGAGAGGTGGGGGGAGGGGAGAGAAGGAGCTGTTGTCTCGTATGCTTCGGGGCATGTCACGTAGTTGGGGTTGCACACAGATGTGGGGACCTGAGGAAGGAAGAGAGAGTGGGCAGGGGGAAGGAGAGAGGGGGGGTTGGGACATGACGTCGGGTGATCTGACCCTGAAGAGGGTCGATCAGGCGAGGTCGATCATGCCACGACATGGCAGGGCGTGGTGCGGCATGGTGCGGCATGGTGTGGCGTGGTGTGGTGTGGTGTGGCGTGGTGTGGCGTGGTGTGATGTGGCATGGCATGGCGTGGCATGGCGTGGCATGGCGTGGCATGGCGTGGCATGGCATGGCATGGCATGACATGGCATGGCGCGGTGGTGGCATGGCATGGCATGGCATGGCATTGCATCGCACTCACATCAAATCGCATGGAGTGGTGTGGCATGGCATGGCATGGCATGGCATGGCATGGCGTGGCATGGCGTGGGATCGAATGGCTTCCATGGCATGCCATGGCATCGCATTACATGACAGCCTCTCAGTCTCTCACCTGCTGGCACAGCGTCTGGAAGCATGTAGCCACCCGCTCAGACGCCAGCAGATACCAGAGGGACCCGAATACCTGGTGGGGTGGGAGGTGACGTCCAGGGGGGATGGGGGGGAAGGGGAGGGTGTTGGGTAAAAGGGAGAAGGGGAGAAGGGGAGAAGGGAAGGTGAACATTTACAAGCTCACACACTCCCGGACTCACGCATTTTCAAATTCACACATTCCTGGACTCGCGCATTTTTCAATTTCACTCATTCCGGAACTCATGGGTGACAATGATGTAGGCCACAAGATTGAGTGTGCAGCACCCCCCTCCCTCCCCCCCCCACCCACACAACACTGCAACACCGAAGATATAACTGTTCACTCACGGCACCTGCACTGCATGGCAAATCCTAAGAACGGCCTTCTTTGACTCATATGAGCAGCAACCATGTATGCGATGAAGTTCAGCGCAAAACCCCACCACGCCGCGCCAAAGATGTAGCCGTTGTTTCACTGCACCCGCACAGCAAGTCTTCTTGGGAATGGATGGGCTCTCTTTACTCACATGGGCAGCAATCATGTATGCGATGAAGTTCAACGCAAAACCCCACCACGCCGCGCCAAAGATGTAGCCGTTGACCCGCTGCGCTCGCACGGTGAAGCGGGCGGCGAGAATCAGCTTCATCACGTACTGTAGAATGATAGCGCTGAAGGCTATAGTGACACCGCCTGTAGAGAAATCGTATGAAGCCTTGTCCAGTTGGATTAGCATGGGGGCAATCACCCACACAAAGACCTGGAATCATTCAGGGAGGGAAAGGAGGGGTGGATTGCAAAAGTTTTGCAGGTAGAGCACAAACGCCAGCATTAAAAAGTTCTGCAGGTTCCTTCAGCACTCCCTGTAAAGTTTATATGAATCTTATTGCTGTCAAATAATCTGAACCGATTTTCCTACTGTTACAACTTACAATAATCCACCTGTTTCAAATTTGCCCCAACCAGCCACCAATCAAGCCCACCTGCGGAATCGGCAAAGTCGCGATGATATCGAAGACCACCCCGCCAAGGGAACACCTCGACCGGGCAATCTTCCTCGCATTAGTCACCATCTCGCTGCCGTGCCCCCTCGCTATAGCTTCCTTCGACACGTAAGCCGTGCGCAACGACAGAAACGCATCCACAAGGAAAACCAAGTCGCACGCGCTCCGAAGCACCATGAGGACTATCGAAAAAATCGTTTCCAGAAATAGGCATGACACTTCCGGACTGTAAGAGATTAGGTATAGGAAGCAAGGATCAACGGCTAGCGATGCGGAGTGAACCAGCGCGACGAATCTCATCCATCGCTTCATACGCGTTGTACGCGGATCCAATACTCGTCCGAACCACCACCACGTTTTCCCCCAAAGCGCGTCGGATTTCATCTCCTCGAGCGGAATGTCCGGAAAATTGTGTGACACGAGCCGCACCATGCCACCGTGAAACGAGGGTCTCAAAGGGCCGCTGTCTGGGATCGCGTCGCGCCGTTTTCCAAATATCCCGGACATCATGCGGCCGCTAAGGCTCCTGCCGCTGGTGATTCCGCCGTCGCTGCCGCCGTCAATGCCGCCGTGACTACCGCCGGGACTTCTGCCTTGACTACCGCCGTGTTTGACGCCGCTGCGTCGAAAGCTCCAGCTCCCATTGCGGCTCCTCGCACGTAGCCCATTGGAAGCACCGCCGAGGGTAGTGACGGCCGACGCCGAGGCGGCTCGACGCGCGTTAACGTGCGCAGAGGAGGCGGGAACGGCGGACGGGGGAAGGGAAAACGTGGGAATGGAGTGGTGGTCCGAGGCGCTTGGCGGAAGCGCGGCGCGAGAAGCGAGTTCAGCCTCACTCGCTTGGTCGTGTGGTGAAGGCTTCGCGACTCGTTGGCCGTGCCGCAATGTCATGACTCGAAAGCAGAGAGATAAGGATTGACACACCAGTAGAGCAGCAACGGTATGTTCGTAAATGAGGGATCTATTACTTGCACGGAGCGGCTCGAAGTGCGTCTGAGCCTCTAGCTAACGCGTATGCATATGTCAAGCGCTCGGGGATGGATTGTGTTTGGGGGTTTGCTACTGCTGCTGTTGGGATGTGGATGTGGAAAAAGTGGTGGAACTGGTTCAAGAGGGGCTTGGAGCGGTGGAGGGGTAGCTTATGAAATCACTAGCCGAACCTGCCCATTCGGTTGGAGTTCGAGCCAGATGTCTCGTTTGGCACAAGCACTGGCTCGTTACGCAGTGTTTAGTGATGCATCTGGCTGCAACTGGAGTCCACACTCAGCCTATCTCCCTTCGATTTAGTCACAAATACACCTTTCAGGACACTCTGCGAGTTGAACCCAATGAGCCCGTCGCTGATCTGACCCCATTCGGACTGGATCGCAAATGAACCGCACCTCTCACCGACCCGGAAGGCAAAATTCGGTTTGTTATCTGTACCGCATCACCTAGGGGAATGTGGCTCCAACACCTCGAACAATATCCAAGGCTGCGCCAGGGGTTTGCGAAAGCCGAGCCGAGTCTCCTCGCACACAGTCGAACCTCCACCGGGCCTCACCGGAGAACCAGACCATCATCAAGAATCGCGCGACGGGTAGCATCACCACAGCAGCCATACCCCCCAAAAAGTGATCCTCATTTTTTCTCTGGGCCCCACATTTGCTAGTACAGTACACCTACAACATACCTCTGACGTCGTATGCTATTTATTCTTTGCTGGGGTGCGATGCGGATCTAGGTCGCTCTCCTAAATTACGTGTTGACATCGCAATCCGCGAACCGTTCTGCGTAGCATAGCGTAATGTCCTGACGAATCATGCTTGTGCTTGTCACTTCATAGAACCCTCCGGAACGGCTCCTTCGAGGCGCCTCCATAAATTTTCGCTGGTCGATTGCCTTGCGAGCCTGCCTGTTCTTACATCGGCTCTCCTTTTAGGCGGTTTAAGTTGGACGCTTGAGGCGCTTCAGACTACTTCAGGCGGTTTTTTACAATCTACCCGTTGTATTGTCATCGCGCGGTTGAGTATTAGGTCAGGGTCTCCGCACTTTACGCGAGCTGGTGCCTTACTTCGAGTCCTTAGTCAAACCCGTCGAAATTAGCTCTACCAGCGCCTCGCAATCGCGCAGAACCGAGCGCGAAGGATGGCGAAACCTTCGCAAACAAGAGGAGTCGTCCTCGCAATCTTCGTTACGATCATGGCGTTACAAGTGATCCACGTGGCGGGTGAGTTCCCGTCGTTCTTCAATCTGACCACGTGGCGGCCAATCTCCCTCTCCTAAGCGCCTCAAGATGGCTGCTTTAATATCTCCCCACTATCTCATCCCCGACCCAAAACATCCCCTCCCCGGCTCCGCTCGTCTCCGCAATTGCCCCCGTTGAAGCTGTAGCGGCCGTAACCCTAGCATCGCACACGCGAAGCGGTTTACCTGCTTCGTCCTCTGTCGTACCCGTCTCTCTCTCCTCTCCCGCCTCTCTCACAACAACACCTTCCCCCACTCCCGGCTCTCCACCCTTTCCCCGCCACACCCTGGCAATCAATTGACAGGGCTGTACCCCACCGAGTCGTCCGCTTTGAGGCGCCTCAAATATCAGCAGGGCTTCACCCCACCATGTCGTCCGCTTTGCATGGGGTCAAGATTTAAGATACCCCACTTCACTGTCCCGCACCCCTCTCCGCCCCTCTCAACATACAAACACCCTTCTCCCCTCTCCCTTCTCCTTTTCTGCCCTCTCCCCACTCTTCTCCCCTATCTCCTGTTTCCCCCTACCCACCTCCTGATTGCCAGCTGTTGCAAATGTTTCTCTAACGAGCATCACGATGCACAAGCACATCAACTGGGTGTTCCTCCCCCAGATCTACCTTCCTCTGCGCCGATAGCAACCGTTCTGACCCGTTCAGCCTCATAATCCCCTTCTCCTCACTCCCCTCTCTCCTGCTTTCCCCTCTATCTCCCCCACCGCCCCCTGTTGCCAGCTGTGGCGAATGTGACTTTAACGAGCATCACGCTGCACAAGCACATCAACTGGGTGTTCCTTCCCCAGGTCTACCTCCTCTGCGCGGATGGTAACCGCTCCGACCTGCCCTTCTCTCCACCGCTCAACATTCAAGTGAACCTCACGGGGAAGGAGGACTGGCAGGTGAGACCGAGGGGAAGGAGGAGCAACAGATGCGCCTTAAGGGGAGGTGGGAGGAGGTTGATGGTTTATGGTTGCCGATGGCAACCGCTCGGACCTGCCCTTTTCGCCGCCAATCAACGTGCAAGTCAACCTCATGGGGAAGGAGGACTGGCAGGTGAGGGCAGGGGAGAGGGGTGACAGGTGAGGATGAGGGATGTAAGTGATTGTATGATAGTTGGAGGAGGTTGGTGTGTAATGAGTGCGGATGGCAATCGCTCCGACCTGCCCTTGTCTCCGCCGCTCAACATTCAGGTGAACCTGACGGGGAAGGACTGGCATGTGAGGCTGAGGGGAAGGTGAGGGCTGGAACGGCTGTGTGACAGTTGTAAGGTGATGGGTCGCCAGCATTCCTTAACTGCTCTTCCTGCTCTGCGAATCCAACTTCTCAGCCCCCAAGGGCCACTCGCCCTTCCATATCCTCCCTACATCCTTCCACTTGCCCTCCCTCTTGTGTCCCTTCTAACCAGCCTCTCTCCCCAGACCTGATTTTCTTTGCTTTTCTCCCGACTCACTCCCTCTCCCTCCCCCTTCCTCCCTTCCCACTCCCCCCCCCCCCCCCCCCGCTTCCCCATCGCAGCCCCTATTTCAAATGGACAGTGGCAGATGCAAGTCGTGCAGCATGTACGAGAATGGGTGGATAGCAGACTGTCCCTACCTGCTCTTCCCGCTCTGTGACTGCCCTTACCTGCTCTCCCGTCCTTTCTTTCCGCCCTTCCTTTGCTCCCCATTCCAGCCCCTATTCCCAATGGACAGCGGCAGCTGCAAGTCGTGCGGCATGTACGAGAAGGGGTGGATAGCAGACAGCCCCTACCTGCTCTTCCCGCTCTGCGAGTCCAACTTCTCAGCCCCCAAGGGCCACTCTCCTGCGCCCGGTGCTGCCGGTTTTGGCGAGCTCCTACTGGCAGACCCAAAGAGGAATTTGGAGTTTGTTCTGTCATGTCCTGCTTGTGTGAGGGACTTGGAAATGAGCACAGGCGATGGTGAGTTGCATTTCCCTGTCCCTGTCCCACTCCCTGTCTCTGCCTCTGCCTGTCTCTGTCTCGGTTGCTGCCCCTACCTGCTCTTCCCCCTCTGCGAGTCCAACTTCTCAGCCCCCAAGGGCCACTCTCCTGCGCCCGGTGCTGCGGGCTTCGGAGAGCTGCTACTGGCAGACCCAAAGGGGAATTTGGAGTTTGTTCTGTCATGTCCTGCTTGTGTGAGGGACGTGGAGATGAGTACGGGAGATGGTGAGTTAAAGTACAGGCAATGATGTCTATGTCTCTGCGTCTGTCTCTGTCTGGTGGGTGGTGTTGCGGGCTTTGGCGAGCTGCTACTGGCCGACCCAAAGGGCACGCTCGAGTTTGTGCTCTCGTGCCCTGCATGTGAGGGACCTGGAGATGAGTACAGGAGATGGTGAGCTGGTCTTGGCTCTTATGCCTCTGTCTTTGACCGTCTGTCTCTGTCTCTCTCTGTTGGGCTGACTGGTGCTGCGGGCTTTGGGAAGCTGTTACTGGCCGACTTAAGGGGCACGCTCGAGTTTATTCTGTCATGTCCTGCGTGTGTGAGGGACCTGGAGATGAGCACAGGCGATGGTGAGCTGGTCTTGGTTCTTATGCCTCTGTCTTTGACCATTTGTCTCTGTCTCTCTCTGTTGGGCTGAGTTTGTGTTCTCATGTCCTGCGTGTGAGGGACCTGGAGATGAGTACAGGAGATGGTGAGCTGGTCTTGGTTCTTATGCCTCTGTCTTTGACCATCTGTCTCTCTCTCTCTCTGTTGGGCTGACTGGTGCTGCCGGCTTTGGCGAGCTGCTACTAGCCGACCCAAAGGGCACGCTCGAGTTTGTTCTGTCATGTCCTGCGTGTGTGAGGGACCTGGAGATGAGCACAGGCGATGGTGAGTCGACCAGGGTTGCTATGCCTCTGTCTCTATCCGTCTGCCTCTGTCCGCCTGTCTCTGTCCCTGTCTGTCGGACTGAGTGGTGCTGCGGGCTTTGGGGAGCTGCTACTAGCCAACCCAAAGGGCACTCTGGAGTTTGTGCTCTCGTGCCCTGCATGTGTGAGAGACTTGGAGATGAGTACAGGCGACTGTGAGCTGGTCCTCTTTCCCTGTCTCTGTCTCTGTCTCTGTCTCTGTCTCTGTTTCTGTATCTGATAAATTCTCTGTCTCTCTCTCTGTGAAAACCTCTTATCTGCATCCTCCTCCACATATTCTCACCTCCTGCTTCCCTCCTGCCCCTCTCCTTCCTCCCTCTCCCCCCCTCCTCCCTGCCTCATTTTTCCCCCCTCCATCAATCATTCATCCTTACTCCCCCTTTCTCTGTGCCTTGTTTCCTTCCTTCCAGCTCCCACAGTTCTTGCACCTCAAGGCTTGGGGGTGGTGGTGTGGGTGATAGCAGGCGTGGCAGTAGTGGGTGTGCTTGTACTGCTCATCACATCCATGGTCTACATCACTAAAGGCGGCGATCAGATTCTCGACGAATCGGAGCGTGCCAAGTTAGTTGAGATGGGGCCGACGTCGTCAGAGGAGCCGCTTTATGCGCTGGGAAGAGAGCCACGACATGCATCCGATGTGCTTAAAGGCGACCCTGACGATTACCTATAGAAGAGCGGATGATGCAAGCAATTAATGGTTTATTTCGGACACAACACAAGGAGGACTCTTGTATGGTTGGACCTAGTGAGCTGTTTGGTTATGAAGGTTTACGGTATTCAAGAAGCCTTCTTGTAATGCTGAGGTGCGTGGAGGTATATTTATGGCAATGAAAATTTGCGATTCAGCATGAGGTCATAATCCTCTTCCACGTGCGGTTACGTAAGAGCTTGTGAAATAGTTTACATACTACTTTAGTTATATAATGTTTATTTGAATCCCATGTTGATACATACCCTCCGAGCCCTCTCTCCACCATACTAAAATTCACCAGATCGCGCCTAACCTTGATATTATCTACCCCAGCAGCTTGTGTCCGTCAGTTCCCCTGGCGGCCTGGCCCTCACTTCCTCCGCTCCATTCAAAGAACCCCGCCTCCGCCCCCCCACCCCCACCCCCCCACACCAACGATCGGCGCACAAAAAGCCCCCACCATTCCCCCTGCCATCGATTCCAGTTCGCATCCAATCCAACCCAAACCACTCGCTCGCATCGCCTCTCGTTGGCATAAACGGTGTCAAACCGTCCTGCGCATCGCTCGGGTCGCTCGCTTCCCGTTGTCGCCACTCCATCGTTTCATTCCCGCATCTTAGCATCGACCGCTTCGCAGCCTTCACGCCTCTCCGCATTCGACGCTCGCGTACCCTCGCTATAGTCACACCTGTCATGCTCCACGCTATGGCCGCTCCCCAAACCATTTTCCGTCTCGCGTTCTCCCGCGCATCGCCCGGATCTGCCTCCGAGATCGCCGGAACCGCGTTCCGATGCTTCGCCGCGAAGGCCGGAGGCGAGAAATCATCATCAGCGGGAAAGACGGGAGGCGAGAAGCCGAAGACGACGCGGAAATCGAAAGACGACAGTCCTAAGCGACCTATGTCGGCGTATATAGTCTTTGCGACTCATGAGCGACCTGTGCGTGTAACTCTGAGTATTTTAAGTTGACTCGTAACACACCCGGCTGCCCTTAGCATCATGCCCCCTTGCATGGTCGTCACGTGTGATCAGTAGATTTTTTAGTCGACTCAAAAATCGTCTGTCCCTAGTGATCCATGTCCCCTTACATGGTCATCACGACTGAAGAGCGACCTGTGCGTGCGCCGTCTCGTGCTTTCTGATTCGACTACATCGCCGTTGTTTTCGTCTATTTCGTTTTTGTCACCATAGTTGTTTTTTTCGGTTCGTCCATCTCTTCTTAGCGTATCCCAGCAATAGTCCACGTTTAGTCCCAGCAATAGTCCACGTTTTTTTCGGTTCGTCCATCTCCTCTCGTTATTTCTCTTCTATGGTCCATCAAGCATTGTTTGTTGGTCTTTTGTCCCTCAAATGGCTTTTGGCCCTCAAACTACGAATCGATCCACGGATTCGCCTCCTTTTGTATTTGCTATCCTCTGATGATCTCCTGGATGTGTAATTCTAGTAATTCTCTCCCTGTGAATTTCGTGCATCTATATATTTCCCGATTCGAGCCTTCCTCGCTCAAAGATTTCCCGACCTCTCCTTCTGCTGCATTCCCGCGCATTCCCCTTTTCGCCTGTGCGACAGAAAGTGATTCGCGAGAAGCCCGACTTAGCCTTCGCCGACATCGGCAGGGTCATTGGCGAACGGTGGCGAAACCTCTCAGGTAGGACATTGGCGAGCATTGCAATTATTCCCACAGTTGGCCTACTGGATATCCCACAGCTAGGCCCCGTTTCCAAACCAAGAAACGTCCAGATGTCTTCAGAAATTCAACGTTTGTGTTCCTCCTCTGTACGCATGGCCTCACCTCTCTCTGTCCTCGTTTCCTCACCACTGACCGTATGCGCATCCCCTCCCCCTTCCTCTGGCCTTTCTGTTGCTGCCATACGCGTTCCGCCTCCCATCATTTGTTCCACCTTCCTCTCCTCCCACCACCCCCCCGCTCCCTCTTCCCCCCCGCCTCCCCTCCCTCGCCCCAAGCCCACCATTATCTACCCACTCTTCTCGCCCTTCATTTCTGACCGTTTCCTCTTCATTTCCCTCTCCCCCCACCTCAACCCCTTCTTTCCCCTCTCCATACCTCTCTCCTTCACACTGGTGACAATGTGAAGTGAGAGCATTCTTCTCAGAAGGAAAGGACAACGCGTTTCCTTCCTCATCATTTCTCTTATCCTCACCCTCTTCTGTTCCCCTCCATCCCTTTCTCCCGTGCACTGATGACAAGGTGAAGTACGAGCACTTGTCTCGGAAGGACATGACAAAGTGTTTTCCTCCTCACATTCCCGCTCTGTATCTCACACCCGCTTCTGTACCCGCCCACTTCTTTTCCGCGTGCAGCTGGTGACAAGGTGAAGTACGAGCAGCTGTCTCTGTAGGGCAAGGCAAGCTGTTTCTCTTCTCACCCTTCCCCCACTCTCTCTCATCCCTTTGTCATTTCCCTCCCATGCAGTTAATGACAAGTTGAAGTACGAGCAACTGTCACAGAAGGACAAGGTGCGATATGCTGCTGAGCTGGAGGCCTACAACAAGGCCAAGGCTGCAGAGAAATAGTTTTTGCAAGGAAAGAGGTTTGAGTTGACTCGGAAAACCTAGGAGTTCAGGAGGTTTTGGAGATGACTCCTTTGTGTGGGACAGTGGGACACTCACCTTTTGGCGTCTAATAAAATCCAGAATTGAAAACGGTAGCTCGCACAACTTGCAGAATTTGCCATGCCAATCAAGAATGCTGGTGGCGGTGTGTTATTTTCTCGGTTCACAGTAAAGTAACAACATGGATCGTCATGTATGGACGGGACAATTCAGTATTGTTATGTAATTCATTGTAGTGTTGTGTAATGGTCATGCATTGTGTCAGGACTCTTTGGAAACAAATCTCTTAGGTCATTAATTTCGGGGGAACATGATGCAGGTTTCATTGCATGGGTATTCTTTCTGTCAACCATAACAGGACCCCCATACACCTGCAGGTGTTTCCTACTCGAGTGTTGACTCAAACGCACAGACCAGCTCAACCACCTCTTTCAGCGACTGCAAGAGAGGTTGAGGGGAGAGGAGAGGGCGGATGGGGGTTGCAGGGTGAGTGTGAGGGGTGTATCAGGAGGAAAAAAAGAATAATAATAACAATGCCACAAATGCACACACCAGCCCCACCAACTCTCTCAGTGACTGCAAGGGAGGTTGAGGGGAGCAGGAAGGGGGAGAGAGGGGAGGAGAGGATGAAATTGAAAGTGTAGCAAACGCATTCAAGGTGATTCTTGAGTCATCTCAAACGTCACCTTGTTACAATGGCACACGGGTGCAGGGGGGGAGGGATGAGAGTGGGTGTGAGGGAGTGTACAAGGAGGAGATGATGCGTTTGAAAGCGCTGCAGTGGCACACACACACCAGCCGTACCACCTCATTCCGTGACCAATGGCTGACTGGAAATGCGACCAATGGCTGACTGGAAATGCGACCAATGGCTGACTGGAAATGCGACCAATGGCTGACTGGAAATGCGACCAATGGCTGACTGGAAATGCGACCAATGGCTGACTGGAAATGCGAGCACCTTGCTCCATTTGGCTTCCAAAGACATTTTCTTAAAAAAAATAGCTGCCATCTAACCTGTTTATTGTGTTCTTCCACGCCTTGGAGTATTGCAGCAGCTGCAGACGCGGGATCCGGAAGAGCATCGTAAAACTCCTCAAAGAATCCTCCTCCACTGGTGTTGGTGCTGGTGCTGCAGCTGGTGCTTTTGATTCAGTAGCTGCAAGCGTGCTGACTGACTGACTGACCTGTTTATTGTGTTTTTCCACACCTTGAAGTATTGCAGCAGCTGCAGATGCGGATCCCCAAAGATGAGCAAGTTAAGCAGCCACCTGACCTGTATGCGGCAAACCTGCTGACAGACTGACCTGTTAATTGTGTTCTTCCACGCCCTGGGGTATTGCGGCAGCTGCAGACGCGGGATCAGGTAGAGCATCGTAGAACTCAAATAGACTGTTCGCTCCATTTGACTGACCTGCCTATTGTGTTCTTCCACGCCGTGTAGTATTGCAGCAGCTGCAGAGGCGGGATCCGGAAGAGCATCGTAGAACTCCTCAAAGAACCCTCCTCCATTGCTGGTGTGGTTCGTAGTTCTACCAGTGCTGCTGCTGCTGCCGTTACCATAGGCAACAATATCAGATGCGCTGACAGCAGCAGCAGCATCAGTGCAAACAGCAGTGACTACGGTGGCAGCGGTGGCAGTGTTAGGAATGGTGGCAGCGGTAGCAGTGTTAGGAATGGTGGCAGCGGTGGCAGTGTTGGGAAGAGAAGGAGGTACGGCGTGAGCGTCAAGTCGAGAGGTGATGAGGAAAGCAGCGAGGGGCGAGAGCGCATGCTGCAGCAGATGGTGCGTGGAGAGGGGGAATGCGTGCTGCGGGAAGGATACCCGAGGGGGAAAGGGGAGTGGCAAAAAGGGGAGGGGAGAGACAGGACAAGAAAGTTGTGCAAAGGAAGAGACCAGCAGGAGTGTGTCTGGGTATCTGCATGGAAAGGATAAGGATGCATTCACTTTTGAGAAAGTTCACGAGGGAAGCAGAGACCAGAAAGAGTGTGTGAGGAGCGTTCTGCAGCAGCAGGTGTGAGGACAGCGTGATGGCGTGCATGCATGCTAAGATTGTGGGTGAAGGCGTGTTGGTATCTTAGAGACACAAAAGGGAGGAAAGAGAGAGATGGAGCATGCATGCTAAGGTTGAATTCTGAGGCGCCTCGAAAGTCGTGTGAGGACAGCGTGATGGCGTGCATGCATGCTAAGATTGTGGCTAAGATATGAGCTGGTTTTTTAGAATTCTCAAATACCTCCATGCATGCTAAGATAGTGGGTGAAGGCGTGTTGACATCTGGGAGTAGGAAAAGGGAGGAAGGGGAGGGATAAAGCATGCATGCTAAGGTTGTCGGTGTAGCTCATATCACATGAGATGCGGAGCAAGTGTATTCAAGGGAAGCACGTACAGCCATGACTAGGAGCACATTGCGCAGTGAGGCCCGGGGCAAAGCAGAAATCACTGCCTCCACTCTCGAAGCAGCATCTCTCCTCCTCCTCCTCCTCCTCCTCCTCCTCCTCCTCCTCCTCCTCCTCCTCCTCCTCCTCCTCCTCCTCCTCCTCCTCCTCCTCCTCCTCCTCCTCCTCCTCCTCCTCCTCCTCCTCCTCCCCATCCCCATCCCCCTCCCCTCCCCCTCCCCTTCCCCTTCCTCCTCCTTCTCCTCTTCTTGCCTCTCCTCCCACTTCCCCCTCTTCTTCTTTCTTCCATTATCTTTTAATTCACCACCCACCGTATTGCTCTTCTTGCCCTTGTGTCTCCCTTCCGCTCGCCTCCGCTTCCCTCCCTCTTTCCTCACACCAATTGGCTTCCTTTCCCCCAACCCACCAGCAGCAGAGGATGCACCACCGATAGCAGGAGAAGCACGAGCATCAGCAGCAGCAACAGGAGTAGCAGCAGCTGCAACAGAAGGGGCTGCAGCAGCAGCAGCAGAGGCAGCGGCGGCAGCGAAAACAAGCGACTCTACGGCCCTTCTTTCCCTCTCACTCAACCCTTCCATCAGCTCGCTCCTTCCCTTCCCCTCGTCCTCCCCCCTTCCTTCCTCTGACGCTTTTTCTCTCTCCCTTACAATCCCCCTTATCTCTTCCCTTCCCTCCCTCCTTCCCTCTTCCCTTTCCTCCTCCCTTTCCTCTTCCCTTTCCTCCTCCCTTTCATCTTCCCTTCCCCCCCCCCTCTCCCTCCTCTCCTGTTGCTCTGCCTGTCGCCCCCCGGCTGCCTGTCGCCCCCCAGCAGCCCCTTCACCCGTCACCCCTCCTGCGTCCATCGATGCTGCTCGTTTTGCCTTGCACCCCTGCGACCAGCCACAGGCAGCCACAGAGGCAGCCACAGAGGCACAACAGACAGGCAGCCACAGAGGCACAACACACAGGCAGCCACAGAGGCACAACACACAGGCAGCCACAGAGGCACAACACACAGGCAGCCACAGAGGCACAACACACAGGCAGCCACAGAGGCACAACACACAGGCAGCCACAGAGGCACAACACACAGGCAGCCACAGAGGCACAACACACAGGCAGCCACAGAGGCACAAGACGTCCAGGAAATGGAAATAGTCAATGTGCTGGCCACAGCATTCAATGGTGTGTGTGTGAACAAGCTTCTTCCGAGGAGGTTTGAAAAAGGAGTCAACTTGTTGACATGATTCCTGAGCAGCTGCGAGAAACGAGGCAGGCTTATGAGGAGGATGAAGAGAAGTGCGCACCTTATGAGCTTCAAGCAGGCTTCGACCAGCAGCGAATGTGAGGAGAAGGGTGGGGAGAAGCAGGGGAAAGGGATGGTAAGCGGGAGAAACAGGTCAGGCAAAGAAATAGACCGAGAAAAGGAGACCTTTGAGGCTCTTCAAATCAAATCAGTGCACTGTACACCTATCATGCCTACTAGACACCTATGAAGTACTCACAAAACTGGTGATTAACAGTGAAGTGAATTAACGTGTGAGCATATTCTAGGTGAGTAGAGGTCCATGTGTGACTCAAACGAGAGGCACACTAACGAGAGACACACTAAAGAGTGAACCAAACGTCAGGAACGAAAACACCAATCACGCTTGTCACCTTGTGAGCGCTCTCCTCGCGTAATAGAGGTTCATGTGTGATCCAAACGAGAGGAAAGAACACACCTTATAAGCACTCGTCTCGAACACGTCTCACCTTGTGAGCACTATCCTCGCGTAATAGAGGTCCATGTGTGACCCAAACGAGAGGCACACTAAGGGAAAACATACTAGGGAGAGCAAACAGCACGCCACCCACACAGTCTCACCTTGTAAGCACCCTTCTTGCGTAATAGAGGTCCATGTGTGATCCAAACGAGAGGCACACTAGGGAGGGCCACCAGAAGTTGATGGCGATAGTGGCAGGTGTGCTGGTAACCTGGTGGTACCTGCATGCACCACCATGATTGCACGGTAGCATGGATGGTGCCATAGGGAGAGATGGTGTGGGGAAGGGGTAGGCTGTTGGGAGAACCGAGAGGCAAACTTGGGAGTTCCACCGGAAGTTGATGGCGATAGTGGCTGGAGAGCTGGTAACCTGGTGCTACCTGCGAACATGCAACCCAGGGTGTATCGAATGGTGCCGTAGGGAGAGGAAGTGTGGAGAAGAGGCAGGGCGTTGGCGATGAATTTTTAAGCGCCTCAAATAGAGGCTCTTGGGTTCAGGAAGAGGTAGGGTGTAAAGAAATGGTACTGCTGTAGCGAGCAAAAACTGCCTCAAAGCGTGAAGTTTTCTTTTAAGGAATATCCGAAGTGCAAAACTACAGAACAGAGGTTGAACTGCCTCAGAACGAGCCACAGTTCAGCCGTAACAAGAATACACCCCCCCTATTCTAAACCCTTCTCTTCCTCCCTCACCAGCCTTCGGGCAGAAAGAGTGCGTCTCCAGCATGGAGAGTTACAGTGGCTGCTGCCGCTGCTGCCTCTGGGGAGAGATGGAGAGGAGACGGGTGGGGATGGCTGCACGGGAAATGAACACGGGGGTAGGAGGCGAGAGCGAAGAGAAAAGGTGAGAGAAGAATGGGAGAGAGATGGGAGAGGTGAGGCGAGAGGCAGAGAAAGGATAGGGTGAGAGGGAGGGGAGGAACCAGATTGCAGAATGTTTTCGAAGATTTGTAGCAACACATAATCTGAGAAAAAAGGAAACGAAAGAAAGTTTGAGATGACTCGGAACTAATAACGGACGAGTGACAGGTGCTGACACGTGATTGGATGACTCGGAGTAAAGTGGCATGGGGTCCAGAAGATGCGCTGATGATGGCGGCCACAGGCGAACTGCTCTGGTGTAGTGCGGTAATGAAGGGTGGGGTGGGGTGCGGTGAAGATCAAGAGAAGGGTAGGAGGGAGGAGAGAGGGAGGAGATGAAACAAATGTTCGGCTTCTGGTAGGGGATATAGACAACCTGCTGTGGTGCAGTGAGGTGGAGAGTGGTGGGGAGAGGTGCCAAGAGATGCATGGGGACGGAATCAGTGGGGTGGGATGGAAAGAAGGATAAGAAAGGCATCTCGTGGATGTGAACTAATTGAGCTAAGAAATGTTGGAATTAGTGGAACTTGAAGTCTACATGTACAGCAGAACCAGCTGGAGAGCAGAGCATGCTTTTTTTTTTTTTTTTTTTGTTCAATTCCGAATGCAGTCACCATCATCGCCATCATCACCACCACCATTCTGACCTGCTTTAGAGCCTGTAGCGATGCAGAGCAGGCTGTGAAAGAGGTCGTAGTGAGGCGAGGAGGAGGAGGGACCACCAGCCATCACCCCCACCACCATCACCATCATCACCAGCACCATCCTCACCTGTTTTAGAGCCGGTTGCAATGCAGAGCAGGTTGTGAAAGAGTAGGTGAGACTGTTTCACCATTACCACCACACCACCATCACCACCACCTGCACCTGTTTTAGAGCCAGTAGCGATGCAGAGCAGGTTGTGGAAGAGGTCGTAGTGAGGTGAGGAGGACGAGGGCCCGCCAAGTGTCATCCACAGATTGGCCGACGTGAGGCGAGATGCGTCCAGCACTGATGGCTGAGGGGCAGGCAGAAGGGGCAGGCAGTAGGGGATGCTGATTGGGAAATGCAACACGATCAAAACAATGAACTCGCAATAGATTGGTCGATGTGAGGCGAGATGCGCCCAGCACCGGTGGCTGTACAGGGGTAAGGGGCAGGCAGGCAGTGGGGGTTGATGAATTGGAAAACATAATACGTCAACAGCAGCTGTGGAAAACGGTGCACAGTATCAAAACGGTGAACCTGCCTCAACAGCAGCATTGGTAAAAACGTGTCTAATATACAGACGTCGCAATTGAAGGGTAAATAGCCGGGCCGAGCAGGAAAAATTCAACAAGTGGCCACTCTGGTCTGTCCCTGGCCCAACCCATGCTTATGCCTACCCTAACAGTTTCTTGCGTATCCTGGTTACCATACAATAGGAGCATCTTGCAGCAAGGGCGAGAGCGGGAAAAGCTGATGTGGCTGTTGGCGATCGAATATGGGGTTCTGGTCTTGGCATGCGAGTGGCATGTGGGGAGAATGTTGAGGGGGGAAGAGTGGGGAGAGTGAGGAGACAGAGAGAGCGTTGGAAGAGGGGGTTGTGTGGGAATGGATCGTACAATAATTTAACGACACACTGCCCACTCTGGTGTGCGTTTGAGATGCCCGCAGGGTTGCTTTGCCACGAGATGCCCCCAAGCTCAGACGCCACATGGTGTCAGTTACGACCTGCTCTGTTCTTCCTCACTAGTGCCTAGACTAGAGCCCTCACATTCTGCAGAACACACCTGGGCTGCTCCAGAAGCCATGGCTTGCATCATCTCCTGAAGCTCACTGCCCTGCTCTTCCCTGCTCTCATGGGCTATTCCTGATCATCTCTCATACCTAGCTTCCTGCTTTTCTGCAAAAACGCACCTGGGCGAGGTAGAACGCCAGTGGAGCTGCACCAGACGCCATGGCTTGTAACATCTCCTGCAACCCGCTGCCCTGCCTTCTCTCACATGTTCTTCCTAACGAATACCTACCTAGCCCCTTCAACTTGACGCAGGAACGTACCTGGGCGAGGTAGAACGCCAGTGGAGCTGCACCAGACGCCATGGCTTGTATCATCTCCTGCAACCCACCGCCCTGCTCCTCCTCTTCTCCTCGCCCGCCATTCCCGTCCCCCTCATCCCCTTGCAGCCAGACCGCATCTCCATCTCCTCTGGCAATAGCAACAGCACCGGTGGCAGCACCACTGTCAGCAGCACCACCAGTGGCAGGAGTGGCGTCAGTGGCGGGACCTTGGCTTCCCTCTCTCACACTTGCTTCAGCCTCCGCAGCAGCGGGAAGAGCGCAAGCGAGCGCTAGAGCGTCGGAAAATGTGGCTGCTATCTGGACAGGAAACGAGCGTCGGAGCACACACATCTAACTTAAATTCTTCAAGGAGGAAAACTGCGAGAGGAAAGCATGTGGCGTGGGTAAATGGCCAATTTCTTGCTGCTCGCAACAGTCAATTCAAAGGGAAGAACGGTAAAACAACAACAGGCAGGTTCCAAAAGCTTTAGCAAGTAACGGATTTAAAGAACATGTGCAAATGCAATAGTTTTTACACCTTTTGCACCTTCTATGTTGGTCCATGACACTCACGCAGCTGTGCAGAACCAATGAGGGCTTACCCGCTCGTGCTTGCGCAATGCCCCATCAAAGTAAGCAAAGGGATGCTGCTGCGATGAATGTGATTGTGCCACATTTGATTGTTGCGCATGTGATTGCTGCGAACGCATGGCAGAACCGTGTTCTGGCTCCGTGCGAGTCATGATGAGCTGGACCGGAGCAGATCCCACCAGATGCTGCATGGAATGGGAGAGGAAAAGGGTTGGTTACAGTAGGTCCGTGCTGACAGGCCCATTGAGAACATATTGGGCAGAAAATTCTCACATGGAGCATCTTAAGAGCCTAAAGGAAAAGTGCAGTGCTACAGCGAATGCCGTGCTCCTGCAAGTAATTCCGAGCTTGAGAACTGCTGATGAGGTCCCATCGAGACATTGCGCAGACGTTTAGACTAGAGAGAATGAAGCAGAAAAGCCTTGCACAGAATTCCCGGGCCGCCTAAAAGATAAGTGCTTCACGGAATGCCATGCACCTGCAAGTAATCCCGTGATTGAGAGTTGTTGAGGAGATCCCATCGGGTCAGCGCTGGCCAATCAGCCACTGCTCCTCGCAACACCTGACACGTGGATGAAACGTGTTGGTGGGAGTTGGGAAAGTGGACGGATGGGCTAACATCAGCAGCGCATGTACCAAGTCAGCTGAACAAGCCCCACGTCAGCAGGATAAGCACACGTCTGCATCACACACCCACGACAGCATTACGCGCCACGTCAGCAGCACGCACCACGGGGAAATTATCCTTCTCCAGGCGATGGCAGAGCAGCGGCTCGTCCGTCGCGGCGCGCAACTTAATCTCCATCACGGCCAGCGCGCTCCTCGCTCGAGTAACATCATCGTCGCCCATCGGCATCTTCTATCTGTACGGCGCCTTTTGAGACGCCTGTTGAGTCGGCTCAAAAGACACCTTCAAAGCTTCAATCGAGAAACACCAGTTGAGTCGACTCAAAAGTCCCGTTAGGACGTCCACCTTATTCTCCTTCACGGCCAGCGCGTTTCTTGCCAATGGAACACCATCGCCTATGATCATATCGATTCGTACGGTGTCTCAACAATCACGCATCGCCTGCTTAAAACCAGTAATGATACAGATATGCCGGCCACCTAACGACCATATATGCTCAACCCAGCAACTCACCTGATGCCACAGTATGAAATGTATCTAAAAGATCATACGCACGAGGCCACCGCGGCGCGGCCTCTAAATACTGCGCCTGCAGTACGTTAGAAAGCAGAATTTCCCGAAGGTAGGGGCTGCGGGATTCTGCTGGGACCTGCGATTACCTGTGTGTACGAATTTGGAGCGGGGATTCACTGCTATTGAACCCGATTAGTGCTAGATAAATGGTACACTATCCCCTCATACTAAAAATCTTATTTCAATTGTCAATTTAGCTGGAACTTCAAAGGGGATATATTTTGAGAAAACTTTCATGCAGGAGAGGAATCTTGTGAAGTTTTATCATGGGAAACTAAATTCATCTTATAAACCAGGTGCATATTTGATATTGGCTTTCATAATTCAACTCTTGAAATGAAATTCATACAGCCCTCTAGTTCTTCTTAAGGTAATAAATTTGAAATACCGGTATCAGCATATTTTTTTGTAAATACTACCCAAAATATTTCTCTTCACCCAATAATCCACATTTAACGTAAAGGTGTGTTACACACCCTTGAAGTGTAGTTGTCTCCAACACCATGGGGATTGACGACGAGGTGCGAGATCAGCCTCCCCACACCATCACCAACTATCCGAGATCCCTCCCTCCCAAACCTCCACAGGTCACGGGTGTGGTGTGCTCCGCTCGCTCCATTCTTGACCTTCTGAATTCGCCTGCCATTCTGTCCAGGCGCAGTTGACGCTGTTTGCTGTCTCGTACTTGACATTGTTCCGATTAATTTCGCGGAATCCATCAGGCCCTGCTATTTAAAACATCGGAGGTACGTCTTCTCTTTGGGTTCAGGAGGAATGGATAAACGTCAGGCAACTAGCCATGTGCAGATAGCGACTGACTGCATTGCATTCATAAAAGCGAAAGGTAATCCGTATGCCAAATCTTAGGAGGAGCAACGGTGTGGATCTATCAGTAGAAAAAATGGAACCGTCGCGCACTGAACGGCCTCATGAGGATACTATTATCTCGTATTCCGTCTCCTGCTAGATTTGTTTCCCTCAGTACGCAGGCTCTTTGGACCAGTAACCTAGAAAATACGTGTTCTGGTCCAGTTTTGATATTATGTTCGGTGAAATTCAAGAATTTGTTCTGGGTTGCGGATCTTGCTGAGAATTCTACGTCCTTGTTGCCGGAATGCCGGACATTCACGGTTGATGGGAATTAGTGTGAATGCTAGACGGTGGACGTTCGAGTCTTGAGGCGCCTGAGAAGGCAATTCTGATGCCAGACGTACCCTTCCGCAGCCCATGTAGGATGTTCGATATTGGAAGTGATACACGTAGTTCACAGCAGCTGCGGCCTCTCAGTGTCGGAATGCGTAACCGCCATTCCTTGCGTCCTATTACTGAGTGATAGAGTCAAGACAGCTGCTCATTTCCAAACCGGGAACACTCTTAGATGTCACTTCCATTATGCGTTTTTCTTCCGTTTCGCACCCTCAAAACCCACTTTGTATTCACGTCAACAGTCATAACGCGACGGCCTTGAAACAGCATTCCACGCATTCTCCCCTTGTGCAACCAAGAAGGAAGCCTAAGCTTCGCTCACTCCAGGCGACCGACCAGAAAGCCCCAACCACGTTCTTCGTCCCTTCTTTCTCCTCCCTTCCCCCTCTCCGTTCCCCGTGCAGCCATGTTGGCAGTCAAGAAGGAGGAGCTGAAGCTCAGCATGCTCAAGGCGGAGGACCAGGAAGGATGCTCAAATAATATCCTAAGAGCTCGTTCGTTTCTTCGCCTCTCTCGCCTTCCCCCGTGCAGCCACGTTGGCAGTCAAGAAGGAGGGCTTGACGCTCAGCACACTCACGGCGGAGGGCCAGGACGGACGTTCCAGCCGCATTCCGAAAGTTTGAAAGTCACTTTTCTTCCTTTCCCCACCCATTTCTCCTCCACCCGTGCAGCCATGTTGGCAGTCAAGAAGGAAGGGCTGAAGCTCAGCACGCTCAAGGCGGAGGACCAGGAGGCGCCAGCAATTTTCCAAGTCCTCGTCCCTTTCTTTCCCCTTCCCTTTCCCCTCTACACCAGCCATGTTGGCAGTCAAGAAGGAGGGTCTGAAGCTCAGCACGCTCAAGGCGGAGGACCAGGAGGCGCCAGCCATTTCCGAGAGCTTTGAGGCGGAGGCAGAGGGAGCAGCGCCGCATGCAGCCATCCCTGCATCCACGCTCGTGCCCTTCCCGCTGCTGCTGAGCGCGGAGGCGTACACCCCCTGGACCATCCCCTTCCGCAGCGCCAAAGACCCCCCTGGTCAGCTCACCGACACCGAGACGACATGGATTGATGTTTTCCGCCGCAGCATCGAGCCGTTCGGGTGAGTTTCGCTGTTTTGAGGTGAGTGTGATTTGCAGTGGCATGCAGCAGTGAAGCGCTGCCTGAGCACGGAGGCGTACACCCCCTGGACCATCCCCTTCCGTAGTGCCAAAGACCCCCCCGGACAGCTCACTGACACGGAGATCACAAGGATTGACGTTTTCCGTCGCAGCATTGAGCCGCTCTGTCCGTCTGTGCTTCTTGAGTGAGAGGACCACACGTTTCCATCTGGCCAGGGACCCCCCTGGTCAGCTCAGGGACGCTATTTTTAGTTGAGTCAAATAGCTCGCCGATACAAAGTCCACGTGGATTTATGTCTTTCCGCCACAGCATCGAGCCCTTCGGGCGAGTCTTTGTCTGTCTGGCAACCATTGATGCGGTAGTGGGTTTCACATATTCCGTTCTGGCCAAGCACCCACCCGGCTGCTTTCCTGCTACGTACTTCCTTTCTGTGCCATTCAATATGCACAGGAAACGAGCAGCCCGTGGCACATCTGTGAACAAGTTTTTCGAGGCGCCTCGAATATAATCTGTTTCGTATTTCCTTTCTGGGTCCATTCCATGTGTGCAGGGAGCGAGTGGTTGGGTACATATCTGTGAGGAACATTAGTTTACTGTTAAGCGCCTTACAAGTGTGCTTCCTGTGGTCCATTCCATTCCATGTGCGCAGGAAGCGAGCAGCCAGCGACGAATCTGTGGAGAACGCTGCAGAGAAGGCGAAGGTCTTTGAAGAAAAGTGAGTCAGTCAGCCAGTCAGTCAGTCATCACTCGTTCATGTCTTATGTTTCCTCGCCTCCCAGCTATCTCTTCCAATCCCGTGACTTCCCGTTCGCTCTTACACACCCTATCCTATCCCCTCCCCCCCGCCTCATGCTCAGGTACGCAGCGATCCTCGATGACTTTGCCAAGGATCCAAGCAGCCATGGCGGCCCTCCCAACCCAGTGGTGCGTAGAAAGCGCAATTTTCCAATGGATTGGATGAATATTTTGGCTGCTCTAAGGGAGGGGAGGAGGGGGTGGGGGGGGGTGGATGCGTTTTCTAGTAGGGTGTAAAATGCTGCAGTGGCATTGTGCGGTAGGTGTGTGGATTGACTTGTGCCGTTTTCTGCTGCACCCCTTGCCATCCCCATCTGCTCCTAACCGTGCTTTCCTCTGCGAGTCACTGCTGCACATTGAAGTGTTTTGTCCGCAAGGGAACTTTTTAAATACTGTTATCATGGTTATATGATTTGTTGCCAAGAAACAGCGTCTTTTCTCATGTTATCTGCCACCCATTGCAGAATCTGTGCCGGCTGAGGGAAGTCTGCTTGACAGAGGCCGGCTTTAAAGACATCTTCAAGAAGACCAAGGTACAATTGAGTGCAAAACGGTTCGACATGGTTCAAAGTGGATTTACGCACTGAATAGCCACAATAGCGGTGTTGAGTGACCAATCTCCCCTCTTCTCTGCCCTTGTCTTTCCCACGCTGCCCCCCCCTTCCCAACCCTCCCAAATTCTGAGTCCTTTTCAACAATGAACCCTGTTTTACAACCCTGAACCCTGGTGAACAACCCGAGTCCCAAACCCTAATTCCTGGACCGCATCCAGGCGGAGGAGAATGAGAAGGCACTGGCGATGCTGCCGGCGACGCTGAAGAGAATCGATGCAGTGGAGGATCTTAAAGAGAGGATAGAGGTGCTGGTCAAGGGCGTGCTGGCTGGAAACATCTTTGACCTGGGAGCCAACAACGTGAGTGTGTGACTTTGTAGCATTTGAGTTGCTGCTCCAAATGACCTCACCTGAAGGAGAGGATAGAGCTGCTTGTGAAAAGCTTTCAATATATGCTCTCCTGTGACTTCGCCTCTGCTTCCCATCTCTCCTCACCCTACAGTCCGCAGCACTTGTTGAGGGCGTCGGCATGTCGTTTGACAACAGCTTTGAGCACATACTGACCTGAGTGTGTGTTTCACTTCGCCCATGCCCTCCCCTATTTGCCCCCCTGCACCCTCTAATACAGTCCGCAGCACTGGTGGAGGGCGAGGGGCTCTCATTCGAGAAGAGCTTTGAGCAGCTGCTGCCACGCCCGTGGGTGTTTGACCAAGTGGCTGAGTTCCAGAAGGCGTGGCTCGACCGCACGTGGAAGAAGGTGTGTGTGTGCATGTGTGTGTGAGTGCCAGTTAATGTTGATTGTTGGGTGCTTGGTGTTCGGGTGCACGGGTGGGTGTTTGACCAAGTGGCTGAATTCCAGAAGGCGTGGCTCGACCGCACGTCGAAGAAGGTGAGCTTGCCGTGGCTAGATTGTAAGTTGACGTAGCTTCTTTTTTTAGGTGCTTTGTGGTTTGATTACCGCTTCTTTCTTTCGGTAAGATTACCGGTTTCTCAACTCATTCTCTCACTCATCTCACTCCACCCACTCATCTCACTCCACCCACTCATCTCACTCCACCCACTCATCTCACTCCACCCACTCATCTCACTCCACCCACTCATCTCTCTGCCCTCACTCACCTCACTCCCCTCAGGTGGTCGTATTCTGTGACAACTCCGGAGCAGACCTCGTGTTGGGGGTGCTGCCGCTGGTGAGGGAGCTGGTGAGGCAAGGCGCACAGGTGGTGGTGGCGGCTAACGACATGCCCTCCATCAATGACGTCACCTACAACGAGCTCCTCTCGCTCGTGCAAAAGGTGAGTGTTGCTTCTCTTACGGAGGAGTGGGCAGCCTCTTGGGTGAAGGACGGACCTAGAGGGGAGCTGGTGAGGCAAGGCGCACAGGTGGTGGTGGCCGCTAATGACATGCCCTCCATCAATGACGTCACCTACAATGAACTCCTCTCGCTTGTGCAAAAGGTGGGTCCTGCTTTTTCTAAAATGCAAAAAGGTGGGTCCTGTATCATGCAAAGGTCAGGCTGTGCACTGCAAATGTACCATCAATCTCGCTGGTGAGGGAGCTGGTGAGGGAGCTGGTGAGGGAGCTGGTGAGGGAGCTGGTGAGGGAGCTGGTGAGGGAGCTGGTGAGGGAGCTGGTGAGAAGCTGGTGAGAAGCTGGTGAGAAGCTGGTGAGGAAGCTGGTGAGGCAAGGCGCACAGGTGGTGGTGGCGGCTAACGACATGCCCTCCATCAATGACGTCACCTACAACGAGCTCCTCTACCTCATGCAAAAGGTGAATCCTTCCTCCTCCATCAATGACGTTACTTACAATGAACTTCTCTCCCTCGTGCAGAAGGTGCGTGCTGCATGTCTTATGGAAAGGGCTGGTTTTTTTTATGCTGGGGAGCCATTGAGCGCAGCTGTAAAGACATGCCTTCATTCTATGGCTCTTAGTGGTCTACACTGGACCATGCTTCCTTCACTGCCCTGTTTCGAAATTGATTATTGTAAAAGCCGAGACCATCAATAATCAAATCAGTACATGCATCAGCACTGGGCAATTACTATTTCCATGTGTTATCCTCTCATCACTCTCTGTCCGTCATCCCAATGCATCTAAACAACCAGGTGCAAGTGACAATAGAGGATGAGACTATAAGCGCAGGCATTGACAGCGGACGTCTTCTTATTGTCAACTCAGGCAGCGATGTTCCTGTGAGTCTTTTTCTTAATCAAAATCCTTCATCTATCACCTTCACACAATGCGATGTTCTTATTATTGTCGCACATGACATGTGTGCTCACACTTTGTTTCCATAACCTTCTTGTTGCACTTCCTCCATCCTTGCTTCTCTCTTGCGTTTTCATTTCGTCCGCTCCTCCTCTCCCCCGTTTTTCTCCCGCACAGGTTGCTGACCTGGCGCACATATCTCCTGAGCTGGCGTTTGCTGCTGAAGATGCTGAGCTGGTCATAATGGAGGGCATGGTATGTGAATTATGTATGCGCGCATGGTATGTGATGCGCACATGCATGGTAGCCTTGTTTGAGTTGGCTTTGAAATCCATGTAGCGGAGTGATGCGACTGTGGATTTCACTTCTGACAAGTGGGTGGCAGCATGTGCCTGCAGCTCTTATTACCTATCATTCTCTTTGTTTTCCCAATCCGCTTCCTCTGTGTCAGGGCCGTGCCATAGAGACCAATCTGCATGCGCTCATGACATGTGACAAGCTCAACATCGGCATGGTAAGATGTGAAGTGCTTGGAATGGTGGTGGTATGGTGAGATCTGAAGTGCTTGAATGGTGACATGCACTGCGACACTCGTGACCTGTTCCGGTGGCATCTTCTGCGGTACCATTGACATGTACTGTGTCATTGGTGACATTCTCTGCCCAGGCTTACAGACAATGATGCTTTCCCTTCACCTCATTACAACCTGTTCTCAATACTTTCCTCACTCTACCCACCTGCTGTCATCTCATTTTCCCGCTCCAGCCTCTCGTGCCCATGCATAACTCCCCTTTTCCTCTCCCTCTCCCTACCCAACCCATTGTCTACACCAGGTGAAGCACAAGGAGGTGGCTGATTTTCTGGGTGGTCGCATCTATGACTGTGTGGTCAAATACACCCCAGGAGACTATGTCCCTACACCCTCCCGAGCCCCCAAGGTCCCAACCCACCTCTCATCCGCATGAGGCTCGCATTCTATTGTGATGAATGGAGGCTCGCCTGGGGTGCTCTTTGTTTTTGCAAGCTGGGCTTGTGTGTCGGAGTCACGGTAATGATAGATTATAATACAGGACTACAGTATGAACCGCGGATCCAGCTCAGTGAATAGCGCCCTTCATTGCTGATTGGTTAATGTTATGTTTCTCAAAAATACGGTAGTATTGTTTCATTCGACTAAACACTCTGGCTTGTGATCAACACACTCTGGCGTGTACTTGAGGCATATAATTGCTTCCTTTCCCAAACATTCATGATACTGTCTCAGTAAATATGGGAGACGCACGCAGAACCTTATCTACAACCTGAATCTGTCTGATGTCCCCATCGAACAGTTACTGCAAACGCCCTTCACAATGCTTGTCTATGTGAAGCTGTGAAGTCAAGCTTGCTGGGCATTGGTGAGGGGGCATACGTAGTCACCACGCTCGAAGACAGCAGCTGCACCCATGCCAGTTCCTGGAAAGTCACCGAAACAGTGGATGCAGATGGCAAGAGCACGGTGAGGAACAAGATGTTTAAGCACAGTCGATGTAGGCACAAGGCTGGAAACAGGGAAGGGAAGATGGAACATGTTCACTCTTTCTAGAAGTGCACAGCAGAAACCGCACAGCTGAAATTGCACTGCACAGACAGAAATTTTAGCTGAAAGTTGACTGAACCTTGCACTCACCAATGCACATCGAGACAACACCAAAACGACAATCAACCCCTCGTCGCTTCATCTCATGCAAGAGCGTTGCCACACATCGTGCCCCTGTCACAGGAACAAACGGTTATCAAAGAATTGACCTATAGGCAACAAACGAATGTTCAAACGTGCATGGAATTTACTTACCTGTGGCTCCAAGGGGATGACCAATAGCAAGCGCTCCACCATTCACGTTGATCTTCTCCTCATCAAGCTCAAGCTTGCGCGCGCAATAGGTGAACTGGGAAGCGAATGCCTGAAAGCAGCCAGAAAATAAACCATCAAAACAGTTATTTCAAGAATCAGCACAAGTTCATGGAGCTGAGCAAAGTCAAGGCTGCCACTGGTACAAATGTATGCAAAATGCAACACTGTTCACCTCATTGATCTCGAACAGGTCAATGTCATCAATCTCCAACCCGGCTGCACTGACAGCAGCAGGGATGGCGACTGCAGGACCGATCCCCATAACAGCAGGATCAACTCCAACAACAGAGAAACTCCTGTACAAGATGGTCGAAGCAAACTCAAGACAGTCAGAATCTGATAGAAGCTACTCAAAGACAGGAACATAACCATGGTGCAGAGGGAGATCAGGCGCTCTAGCTGACTGCTAGACCATCATAATTGAAACAGCCACTTGTATCCCTCATGTCGTGCTTGCGAATGAACCCACCTGAAAACCCCAAGGATGGGAATTCCTCGTCGAAGTGCCTCCCCACGGGTCATCAGTAGAACCGCTCCAGCACCGTCACTCACTTGGCTGGAATTTCCAGCCGTGGTTGTTCCACCCTTCTTAAAGACTGGCTTGAGCTTAGCAAGGTCAGCCATGGTGGCTCCGGGACGAATGCCATCATCAACGCTGACAACAATTGGCTTCTCATCACCAGTCTTCGGATCAACGATCTGAAAAGCAAAAATGGAGTTGACTAAGCCATGTACCGAAGCCTGACCAGAGCAGACATTGCTATTGTTAATTAACATCCAACGCATACCTTGGTGATGATAGGGACGATCTCATCACGAAACCTTCCAGCAGCTGTAGCTGCTGCAGCCTTCTTGTGGGACTTCACCTGTAAAAACAAGAGTTGTAAGCATCAGCTACTGCTCGTTATCGCCCATGAAAATTCTGAAAAGAATACTGGAAACTCCACTCACTGCAACATCGTCTTGATCCTTCCGGTTGACTCCAAATCGTTCAGCAACATTTTCTGATGTAATCCCCATAGGCAAAAGGCAGTCCTGAGCCTTCTGGTTCATCTCAACCTGCACGCACTCAACCTCATTCGATTAAGCTTGGAAATGCTCCGTTCAGCTGGAATGAGCTGACTGCATATTGCTCATCCCTTACCTTCGGGTTGACGCTTCCTTCCCAGGCCATGGGATTGACCGTCATAGATTCCAACCCAGCACCAATGCCTGCTCACGAGTTCCACACCAGCTACTTGTTTCAGCGTTACAATCTCGTATTCCTCTCAACGACCAAGACCCAGAAGACTGGAACGTCCTGTTGCAACTTTGGATCACTTACCGATAGTGTAGAATCCAGCCTTGATAGACGCAGCCACGTCAGCAACCGCTTGAAGGCCAGACGAGCACTGCCTGTTCACCGTCCTCACCGGCACAGTATCTGCACGGCAGAAAGAATATGCTCTTATTGTTGTTCAGACAAACAAATCTTACTGATTAAAACAAACAGCTCGAAGTTTTCCTCACCAGGAAAGCCAGCGAAAAGAGCAGCCATCCGGCATTCGCTCGCTCTTTGGCTTCCAGGAGCAAGAACAGTTCCCACAACAATATCTCCAACTTCCTCTGGCCTCACTCCAGCCTCATCGACAACGGCCTGGTTAGCATGAAAGTCACAGATGTTAGGCTTGCGTAACGAGAAGTGAAAGGTGCTGCTTGCGTAACTGTCGTTCATTGTTATCTTAATTTGCATAAGATGAAGTGAATGCACTGACCCTAAGCACCGGCGCCAGGATGTCATCCGGAAGGGTGTCCTTAAAACCGCCACGTTTGGCCTTAGTAAGGGCCGAGCGACGCGCACTGTACAGCGGCAAAAAGCATTTAGTCAGATGGTGATAAGCGGCAAGCTATCATTGTTAACCGATAGAATAAGAAGCAAACAAAATATACAAGACTTCCGTAATTCCGGGATTTTCCTGAATCTCACCTGACAATTACGACATCGTCATCATAGCCAGCAGTGCGAGCATACGCTGCGCTGTCCCCAGCAAGGCACGGGGACGCGACCTGCGTAACATTACTTCCGCTGGGTCAGATTCGTTTTCTTAACTAGCGACACTACAAGAAGCATCGAACTAAAGCGTGTATAGCATACCAGATCGGTTCGCTGGAAGACCGGACCAGGACTCAAGTGGTCGGCGATAACCTGCTGCCTAAGACGTGCCTTCTCCATGATTGAGAAAATCGAGCAGTAAGAGGAAAGGCAGCTGACGGTATATCGACGACTGACAATGAAATATGAATGACGAGACAGCAAAGCCTTGAAGTCGCAAAGCTTTATGAAAGCACGAAGCCTTGGAATTTCACGACTGGAAGCTTGCCCGCTGAGATATATTCGGCGAACCAGATCACGAACCAGACCAGCAAGCATTCCCTGTAATGGTTCCGTAGCAGCACAACAACACCAACAAAATCGGTGAGCTTGAGCCTGGGGGAGCGGGGCATCAGGAAATGAGGACACTGCAACACGTGGATTTGGGACAGTGCCAGTGCAGTGTGACGTCATCCTCAGGTCTGGGAAAGCTCGCGCCATGTCAACCGTGCCCAGGCTGAATCAGCAGGTAGCCCAGCAAGCCCAAATCAGGGGGTCAGCGTAGACCCAATAGCCAAGTTGCGGTGTACAGATTTCAATCCCTTCACATACAACTAGACATCTTACTTACCCGATCATACCGGTATATTTGTGGAAAGATATAAGAATGTACCGCCATAATAATGTCGAATTGCTGATATGACGTTGACGATATATCAATGCTGTGTGCCCCCATTTAAACAAAATAAGTCTTTTTTTTTCTGTTTTCTCTAGTTTGCATTGGCATTCTAAAGTTTCAGCATTACTCTCATGAACTCCACTGAGTATACCGAGACACTTTATGGCCCTGGAAGTGTTCGAGGCGAAGTCTAATAGCATTTCATTAAAACGAGGATGGCGTTTGGGCGGGAATGGAAAGCCGCTCACAAATCTTTTTGGTCGATATACGTGACTAGACAATATCGAGGCAGGCAGAGTAATCCTTACCGAACCAGGATAACCACCGTTCGTCTCCCTACTGTCTCGATCAGTTTCAGTACCTCAGACCCTTGACGGTAGTTCAAGTTCGCGCGCAACTTGGTCGGAATTTAGGCACATCACGATACCATGGCCGTAGATCGAACGGAAGACTATCGCGATGCGGTGAAGTCACTCGCAGTGCGGCTTGGGTACGATCAGGTGCGCACAATGTGTTCGTTGGCACGTTACTTAGATTCGCATGGACTTCCCGTCTTTCATTGTCAACTTACAACGTCTAAGCATCTGTCTCTGACTCTTGTCGTGGCAACAGCACCTCCCTTTTCCCCCCACTCCTCCCATCCCCCTCCCCCCTTTCCCCCCCTTCCCCCGCCCCCCTCTCTCTCCCCCCCCCCCCCTTTCCCCCTCTTCCCCCTTCTTCCCCTGACCCCCCCTATCCCCCATTTTCTCCCCGCGTTCCACCTCTCTCTTTAGCTAGCTTTCCTCCACTTCCAACCGTTCCCTTTCCTTTCCGTATCTTTTTTTGCTCCCCCTCTCCTCCTCTCTGTCTCTGTCTCTCCCACCTTCCAGGCTCGTCTGGCGCAGGTCTCATCTGCCATGATGCTCAAACCCACCTCAGGAGGCGGCGAAGCTTCCACGAAGGACGCCTTCGCCAGGCTGGCATCTGACGTGGTGAGTGTGGCGCCTTGGCAGGGCAAGGAGGAGGAGAAAAGGAAGGAGGCGTAGGGTTCATTGGGATGTGGGGGAGAGGGGGGAGGGGAATGGGAGGGGGAGGGGGGAGGGGGGGGGAGGGGGGGGGGGGGGGGGGGGGGGGAGGGGAGGGGATGGGGGGGGGGGGGGGGGGGGGGGGGGGGGGGGGGGGGGAGGGAGGACGTTTGAGGCGCCTCGAAAGGACGCCTTCGCCAGGCTGGCATCTGGCGTGGTGAGTGTGCCTTTGGCAGGGCAGGGAGGAGGAGAAAGGGGAGATAGGAGCGAGGAATGGAGAGAATGGGATGGGAGGGAGGGGGTGTATTGGAAAGGGTGAGGGTGGTCTTGGGGAAGGAGGGGAAGGGGGAGGGGATATTGTGGGGTGGAAGCGGGTAATAAGGGGGCTGTAGTGGCCTGTTTGGCGTCGAATGGGTTGCGCATATTCTTCCCTTGTGAATGGTGAATGTTGAATGGTGACTGGTGGCTCACTCCTGCAATGCAATGCGATGCGAGGGCGTGAACAATCTTGCAACCCCTGGGCCCTGGCGATGTGTGTGCAATCCTATCCTCAAATTTGCTCATATTTGCTGCTTTTCCATCCAACCTTTCCCTCCCTAACCCACCTCCTCTCTCCAACTCTCCTTGTTGAGACGTCTCAACCTCAAAAATCAATCCTATCTTCAATTTCGCTCGTACTTGCTGCTTTTACATCGTCTCTCCCTCTCTGACCCACCTCCCCTCTCCAACGCTCCTTCCCCTCTTCCTACGCTCTGCGTTTGAACTCTTTCCTTCCCATCCCACGTACCCCTCCCGTTACCCCCACTCCTATCCTATCCTCCACCCCTCTCTCCCCCCTCATCCCTCCTGTGAGCCAGCTATCAGACGAACGTTCCCTGCACTCCGTCCTAATGAGCGAGGGGCGGGAATACTGCAGTGCTGCTTCAGACCATGTGGTTGGGCACGCAGTGATGGAGAGACGGCGAGACGCCTTTGAAGCAAAGGTAGATGAATGAAGAGGGAGCGGGGAGGTGGCAGGTGAAAGGTGACTGCGGGGAAGCAATGGGAATACTGCAGTGCTGCTTCGGACCACGTGCTTGGGCACGCCGTGATGGAGAGACGGCGAGACGCGTTTGAAGCAAAGGTAGGTGAGAGTATGAGCAGGGAGAAGTGACAAAGGATGAATGTGAGCAAAGGAATCCAGGGGCGGGAATACTGCAGTGCTGCCTCAGACCACGTGCTTGGGCATTCGGTGATGGAGAGACGGCGAGACGCCTTTGTAGCGAAGGTAAGTGAAATGAAAGGGGCATGGTGAAGGAGTGTAAGGAGGGGATAGAGGCGCTGCGAGGCAAATAGCCCTTCCACTCCCACGTTCCTCTTCCCATTCTCGCTGTGCTTCTCCTCGCATTGCATCCCCTCTGTGTGCGTGCAGGTGGGCGGCATGGTGAAGGAGTGCAAGGAGGGGATAGAGGCGCTGAGAGGCAGATTGCCCCCACCGGGAGGAGCAGCGGGACGAAATGCGCAGTTGACAGCGCATCAGCATGGCGTGGTGAGTGTGCAAATGTGATTATAGATGCGTGTGCATGTAACAGGGCACCTGCAGCTCCTCTCCTCCACCTTTGAGCCCCTTTCAAGGGCTCATCCTAACAGCGCATCTGCAGCTGCTCTCCTCCACGTTTAAATGTCTGCGAGCCACGAGGCTGCAGCGGATGCTGGCAGACAGCCAGCGGCAGAGGCAGGGCTGCACATAAGACACTCGTTCTGCCCTGTATCTCTCCCTCTTTCCCCATCCCCCCTCAGGTGCTCATACTCACCGGGCACCTACAGCTGCTCTCCTCCACCTTTGAGCGTCTGAAATCCACCAGGCTGCACAAGAGACATTTTCTGCCTTGTGTCCATCACATTCCCTCTCCAATTCCCCTTCGACCCCTCCACCCACACTTTCTTCAGGTGCTCATCCTAACGGAGCACCTGCAACTGCTCTCCTCTACCTTCGAGCGCCTGCGAGCCACGAGGTTGCAGCGGATGCTGGCAGACAGCCAGCGGCAGAGACACTCGCTCTGCCCTGTATCTCTCTCCTCCCATCCTTCCCCCCCAGGTACTCATTCTCACCGAACACCTGCAGCTGCTCTCCTCCACCTTTGAGCGCCTGAGATCCACCAGGCTGCAGCGGATGCTGGCAGACAGCCAGCGGCAGAGGCAAGGGGGAGGGCAGGGCGGAGGGCAGGGCGGAGGGCAGGGAACGTTAGGGAAGCAGGGGCGAATACATGCTCTGAAGGGGGTACGGGAGAATGGAAGGGATGGAGGGGAGCAGGGCGGGGGGAAAGGGTGGCAGGAAGCGGGCGGCGAGCAGCAGGGGAGGGGTGTTGGGCACGATAGGGGGCAAGAGCAGGGGCGAGAGAAGGGGCGAGAGCAGGTGATGCAGGATGCAGAGACAGTGGCGTTGCAGGAGGAGTTGAGGGGGCTGCTGAGCAGCACGGCACAGGCAGAGGCGAGGGTGATGGAGCTGGCTGCTCTGAACCACCTGTTTGCCGTGCACGTGCTGCAGCAGAGCGAGCAGGTTCACCAGCTGTATGCGGAGGTGCGTGTGTGTGTAAATTAGAGCTTTTGAGTCGACCCAAAAGTTTACAGACAGTGTGAAGGCTGAACCGTCTGTTTTCCGTGCACGTGCTGCAGCAGAGCGAGCAGGTTTAGCAGCTGTATGCTGAGTTTTATAACTTTCTTCAAGATAGGTTTTATAGAGTAGTAAGTCAGCTCTTATTGCTTGTGCTGCAGCAGAGCGAGCAGGTTCACCAGCTGTACGCTGAGGTGCGTGGGCGTGTGTTGGTAATGGCTTGTACACACACAGTTAATGTGAAGGTTGAACCACCTGTTTGCCGTGCACGTGCTGCAGCAGAGCGAGCAGGTTCACCAGCTGTATGCTGAGGTGCGTGGGCGTGTGGAATTTGGAACTAGGGTTTGCACACACACAGGAGTGAGTCGTTTGTCGTGCACGTGCTACAGCAGAGCGAGCAGGTCCAGCAGCTATATGCTGAGGTGAGATTTGCTACTAAAGGGTTTGTACTGTACATAGTAATAATGAGTCAGCTACTAGTGTAAAGGCTGAACCACCTGTTTTCCGTGCACGTGCTGCAGCCAGGGCACCACCTTCCTCATCCTCTTTTCCTTGCCTCACCTTGCCCACCCAATTTGTTGCTCGTGCTCTTTGATATAACAGGCAGTGGCAGCATCGGAGAGAATAGACAAGGGCAACAAGGAACTGAAGAAGGCAGCAGCACACGGCAGCAGCCATCGCACCTTCCTCATCCTCTTCTTCTTTGTGCTGCCTCTCTCACTGCTCTTCTACGATTGGTATGACCGGCACCAACGGAGTGGGTTCAGGCTCTGGTAGGACAAGCAATACAACAGCCTATCAGAGGGAATCGCACACAGCAGCAGCAGCCATCGCACCTTCCTCATCCTCTTCTTCTTTGTGCTGCCTCTCCCACTGCTCTTCTATGATTGGTACGACCGGCGGCAACGGAGTGGGTTCAGGCTCTGGTAGGACAAGCAATACAACAGCCTATCAGAGGGAATGGCACACAGCAGCAGCAGCAGCAGCCAGCGCACCTTCCTCGCCCTCTTCTTCTTTGTGGTGCCTCTCTCACTGCTGTTTTACGATTGATACGACCGGTGGCAACGGTTCGGATTCGGTCTCTGGTAGTTGAGGCAATGCAACAGATTGCCAGAGGGAACGACACAAGCAAGCAGCCATTGCACCTTCCTCATCCTCTTCTTCTTTGTGCTGCCGCTCTCACTGCTGTTCTACGATTGGTATGACCGACACCAACGGTTTGGATCGGGCTCTAATAGTAAGACAATACAACAGATTGCCAGAGGGAATGGCACACGGCAGCAGCCATCGCACCTTCCTCATCCTCTTCTTCTTTGTGCTGCTGCTCTCACTGCTGTTCTACGATTGGTACGACCGACACCAACGGTTTGGATCGGGCTCTAGTAGTAAGACAATACAACAGATTGCCAGAGAGAATGGCACACGGCAGCAGCCAGCGCACCTTCCTCATCCTCTTCTTCTTTGTGCTGCCTCTCTCACTGCTCTTCTGCGATTGGTATGACCGGCGCCAACGGTTCAGATTCGGTCTCTGGTAGTGTGGCATGGTGATGGTGCTGTGATGTGAGTACTACCAGCATTGTAGATCCGGTCCGGATTGATGATTTCTCTACTAGGGTGGGTACGAAATAATCAAGAGACTGGAGCACCTTTCGCGGTCAAATGCTGCCTCACACCCCCCGGTAGAGTCTGTATTGGGATGTCACATATGCACAAGCCTGGGAGTCTGTAACACCTCTCTACTTCTTGACCTGTTAGCAGCAAAAGCACGGTGGGAAGTCACATATGCACAAGCCTGGGAAAGCTTCTAAACCGATTATATACAGAAATAGTGACCATTTTTGCACATGCACAGTGCTATCCCTTATGGCTATGTATCAACTAGTGTTGTCTTGATGGCTTGTGGCATCTTACCCAGCATCATTTGCTTCATTTCCCTGTACACTCAACACAAATGCACCAAGCCACATGCACGCACATGCACACTATCCCTAATGGCTATGTATCAACTAGTGTTGTCTTGATGGCTTGAGGCATCTTACCCAGCATCATTTGCTTTACTGGGCATTTCCCTGTATACACACATGGCACACACACACCCTCACACATACACACACGCACACACGCATGCCGCACACATGCACACGCGTGCACACACACACACACACCCAAGCACACGAGTGTACACGCGCAAGGACGACACGCACACACAGACACACAACAAATGACATCTGAATACAAATCCTTTCACCCAAGAAAAATATGCTTTTACCAGCATAGTTGAGGCGCTCTCACCTGCTATCTCCAAAATCCTCTCCTTTTGTTCTGTGGAAAGGGGTCCATCCAAACGTAGCAACAAGCGGAGGCCGTCTGGTAATCTCCCATCTGTTGTATGGCACGAAACAAAATGAAGGGGGTGGGAAGGAGCAAAGAAGAAATGCATATTTTCCAGCAACCTCTCCCTTTGTTTCGTGGAACGGGGTCCCTCCAAGCGCAGCAACAACTGGAGACCATCCGGTAATCTCATCTGTTGTATGGCACGAATCACGAAATCAAGGGGTGTTTTTTGAGGCACCTCAAGAAAAGCCTCTCCCTTTGTTCCGTGGAAAGGGGTACCTCCAAGCGCAACAACAATCGAAGGCCATCCGGTAATCTCCCATCTGTATTGTGGCACGAGACAAAATCAAGGGGTGTTTTTTGAAGCGCCTAAAAAATAGCCCTTCCTTTTGTTCCGTGGTCCAGTAATCTCCCATCTGTGTATTGTGGCACGAGACAGAATCAAGGGGCTTGGAGTGGAAGGAACAGAGCGGAGATACAGCAGCAGGATTGGGCCAGTCTCACACCATGCACGGCATAACGCGTTTGAGAATTCTCAAGGCAGGATGATGGTGGATTGTGAATGTCATGCAGGAGAAGACAAACAACTAGGGTGAGGTAACCATCCATGAACAAAATCTCAACAGTAAATCCAGTATAAGGGTAGTATGAGGGTGGAAAATGGAACGTTACACAGGAGAAAACGAACAGAGTTGTGTCTGTGTAAATTTAAGGCCATGGCCCATAGCGCATCTGAGATAAATAGGCCATAGCCATGGCCAGGGCTTGAATGCCATAGCGCATGGCATGTGCATCTTTAATTCCACCCAAAATGAACCTGAGATAGAGCAGCTTGGGCGCATGGCGCATGGTGCATGGATGGTAATGGTGCATGGTGGATGGTGCATGGCGCATGGCGCATGGTGCATGGATGGTAATGGTGCATGGTGCATGGTGCATGGTGCATGGCGCATGGTGCATGGTGAATGGTGCATGGTGAATTGTGCATGGTGCATGGTGCGTGGAAGGGGGAAGGAAAGAGGAATAGCAGCTCAGGAGGCAAGGGGGTGGTTGATTCAACCATGACAGCGATGTGTGTTAGCGGCGCATGTTGGTGTATGGTGCATGGAAGGGGGGAAGGAAAGTGGGGAAGAGAGAAGGGTAGCAGCTCACGTGGCAAGGGGGTGGTTTGTTCCACAGTGACAGCGATGTGTGTTAGCGGCCACTGCTTTCTGTCCGCGTACTGTGGGAGGAGGAGGAGGAAGAGAGAGGGACAGGGAGGGGAAGGTGCATGACAGGGAGAGGGATAGGTCGTTATTTCCACTGTAACAGAGATGTGTGTGTTGGCCACTGGTTTCTGTCTGCATACTGTGGGCAAAGGACGAGGGGAAAGTAGTGGGGTGAAGTGGGGTGTAGTGGGTCTCGAGGCATCTCCAGCAAGCAACAGCATAGGCGAAAGTTTAGCAAAGGATAAGCAGTTGCTGTTAGAATAACACTGGCTGATTCGTAAAGGTTTTTGTAAAAACGGAGCTCTCAACAACCGGAGCTCTCAACAACCGGAGCTCTCCACTAAGAAGTTGTAAAATACACAGCAGGGGGAGAGATGAAGGGTTGGTTCCACTGTGATGCGCACATGGGGTGTAGTGGGGTGTAGTGGGGTGGGAGGCGTACGGTGTAAATTGGGGAGAGGGGGAGGAAGGCAGCGGAAGGAGTAAGTGGGTGAGAAGGGGGGGAACGAAGGGGCAGAGGCATACCAGTGACCAGTCTAACTGTGGTGGCAGTGCACATGGGGTGAATGCACGGGGGAAAGGGGGTAGGGAAAGGCGTACCAGTCTGACAGTGGTGGCAGTGCACATGGCGACTCAAATTTTGAGACTTCTCAAAAACGACTCAAATTTTGAGACTTCTCAAAAACTGACTGTGGTGGCAGTGCACATGGGGTGCATGCATGCAAGGGGGAAAGGGGAGAGGGGCAGGCGTACCAGTCTGACAGTGGTGGCAGTGCACATGGCGACTGCTGCTGCTGCATAGTCCATGGGGCTGGTTGGGGAGGAAAGGAGGGTGCAGGGCAAGAGGGTGCATCATTCCCTACTCGTCCACTTCCCTAATCGTCCCCTTCCCCACTCGTCCCTTTCCCCACTTGTCCCTGTTCTACAGCTGAACACGAAGCCCCGTTCTACTGCTGCCATCACACCGTACACTAACCCCAACATTCCCTCCAGCCCCAACCCCCCTATCCCCGCTCTCATCTCACGTGGGAGCAGTGCGAGCCATTGGTGCGAGCCAAATCCCCGCCAATCCACCTTCCACTACTGCCATCACATGGTACACTAACTAACCCCAACGCCCCTTCCCCCACCCAACCCCCATTCCTCCCCCCTCCTTCCCTCTGCTCTCTTCTCATCTCACGTGGGAGCAGTGCCGCCCACGCCATTGGTGCGAGCCAGATCGCTGCCACAGCGCAATCACACCATCATCTAACCCCCACCTTCCCCCCCGCTTCCCCCCTCCCCCTTCTCATCTCACGTGGGAGCAGTGCCGCCCACGCCATTGGTGCGAGCCAGATCGCTGCAGAAGGAGAAGCCCCCTTCCACTGCCGCCCTCACCCGATACTTGTGCTCCGGCTGCATTAAGGAAAGGGGGAGGGGAGAATGGCGGGTGGGGAGGGGAAATGGGGTATGGTGGGGAGACAGAATTCCCCTTCCACTGCTGCCTTCAACCGATACTTGTGCTCAGGCTGCAAAATTAAGGGGGGAGGGGGGATGGTGGCAGGTGGGGAGGGGAGCACCCTTCCTCTGCTGCTCTCACTCACCCAACGCATGAAGCTGTGCTCGATACCTCATTGTCTCCCTAACGTGATATCAAGTTTCTTATGATATTCAAACAAGCTTGATATCGTGTGCTCAACATCTCATTGTTTCCTTTCCCTAACAAGCCGCTCTCATCCCATGAGATATCGAACAAACGACAAGCTGAGACAATGAGATCCCTCCCACCTACCCCCCTCCAATCCTTACCCTCTCATCTCCAACCTTTACCCGTCCCCCCATTTCCCCGCATTCACACCTTCCCATCATGCCCTCCCCCTTCCCCATCCCCCCATCCCCCTCCCCCCTCCCCCCTCCTCCCCTCGCTCCCCCCCCTCCCCCTCCTCCCCCCACCTTCTCCTCTTCCACCGCAATATGGTGCAGATATCTGCGCGATTCCGCCCACCCCCCAGGGTTCCGCCCAAACGCCTCTGACCCCCCATAACCTCCCCCTCCCCATCCCCCTCTTCGCCCCACCTTCTCCTCTTCCACCGCAATCTGGTGCAAAAATCTGCGCGGTTCTGCCCACGCGACCCCAACTCTCCCCGTTTCCGCCCAGACGACCCCCACTCGGCGCTGTTCCGACCATCCGCGGAATCCTGCCGCGCCTATTACCCTTCCGCCGCTCCTCGGTCCGCCAGCGCGGCGGCTCAGGAGCGTCGCGGAGCCTCCGCTCGCGTCAGCGGCGCAGCGCGGTAGAAGCGGCGGAACGAACAACCGCGCCGCGTCGGATGGGGTAACGCAGTTCAACTTGTTTACCGAATCGGTAGGCAGACGGCGGCGATTCTCTTGAGAAGCCTCAGCCAATGATGCAACGCAATCGGTGAACGGAAGTCGATGTTCTCGAGGCGCGTCAGCTAGAGAAACGAAATCGCCCGCACTTGCAAGGGGCTTGCCTGGCTGTAAAACCTTATGTGAAAAAATCCGCACGGTTCCGTGGAATGCGCGCGGAAGGCGCTGACAGGATCGCACTGTGCCCGCCATGGCGGCATCAACGCTTGAATGAGATGTTTGGAAGCTTGAAAACACGGTGATAGTGACTGCTTCAAGGCTGGAAACTTTGGAAAAGCTCAACAGACATATGAATTCTCTGGAATTATCTTATATAGATGATTCTGGATTGTCGATACATGTAGAAACCACTTACACTTCCGCTTAAAGCGATTCCGAACTATAAAGAGACGTCGACTGAAATCTTCTGGAGTGTGGCGGAATTTCCAACGCACCTTCTGGAGCCCTCGCCCAACGTCTCGCCCAACGTATAATGGTTGAGTACGATCGAGTGGATTTTGGGGAGGTTTCTTAGGCTAAACGCTACTTTGTCTGACAGGGTTTAGCCCGAACATTACACGGGCAAGAAACAAGTCCTTCGTAACCCGCCTGGGTTACTGTTGCAACTCGCAAATGCTTCGCTTCGCACATCTCCCGTCTCTGGTCCACTGCTGGTCCGCAATGGGTTCGTCGGACCAGAATTCGTGGCCCTGTTCGGTTGGAGTAATGGGCGTTATGGGCGTTAAAAACCCGCTGGCCCAAACGCAGGCTCGGGAACTGGGAGGATTGCTTGGCGTTATGAAAAATCATATGAATACCGTTCGGCTGGCGTTAAGGGCATTAAAACCACGCCAAGTAAAGGTTAAGAGTTTCGCAAAAACTTCGCGAAATCACATGATTGGTGTGTAAAAAAGGCCAGTCGCATATGATTGGCCGCATCACCAATCCCCCGCATGGTGCAAGGGCCCTGTTCGGCAGGAGTTATGGGCGTTGTTACAATCTGAAATGTGACTTAGCGAAGAGGATCGTTCAGGGTTGATCGCGGGTAGTGTCGCAGCGGAAGTAGTGAACTCAGGTCAGAGTGAATGTAAATGACTGAGATTGATAATAGCATGCATACATTGGGTTTATATAGAAATACAAAGGAATGCGAAACGACCTAGACTAGCCATGTACTCTAAGGGGTACATTCCCTTATTGCAGCGAAATTTAAACTGTGCGGCGCGGGAATCAGTTTCAAACCTGTTCCCGCTCTTTTCACTTCAAATGCTTCTGCCTGCATCGGCCTTAGTCAGACGGTTGTAGTGTCGCTTCGACTCTTCTGACTCCTCGACTTCGTACTCGGTAGAGTCGGCTCCTGCAGCAAACAGGAATGCCTTCTTATAGAGCTTCATATCGTAACACTCCCCTTCATTCCTGGACGCGAGGGGTGCTGACTCGCTTGACCACTCCGGTGAGGTCGGAGCAGTGCTTGAACTGCTGACGTGGCAGACGCTTGGTGAGGAAGTCGGCTGCCATTTCAGTGGTTGGGCAGTAAGCGAGGTCAACTTTACCCTGGTCGATTTCGTCCTTGACGAAGAAGTACCTTGGTCGATGTGCTTCGTGCGGTTCACGAACCCGGGCTTGTTCGCGATCTTGATCGCGCTCTGGTTGTCGCAGTGCAGGCGAAAGGTAGGCGAGGTTGGAATTTTCGCCTCCTGTAACAGCTCCTGCAGGTACAGACCTTCGCGAACTGCTGCTGTCGCGGCGATGTATTCAGCTTCGGCCGATGACAGGGCAACCAGTTCCTGCTTCTGCGAGTTCCAGGAGATGGGGCCAGTTGGCTCCAGGCGAAAAACGAAGCCGGTTCGGGACCGTCGATTTGCTGGGTCAGCGGCATGGTCAGCGTCCACGTAGCCGTTGAGGTTGAAGGATGTTGTTGACAGCGTGGAGTAGGAGAGTCCAATGTCAGGCGTGGAGATGAAGTACTGCAGGTCCAACTGGTTCTCGGCTACTGGTTTGCGGGAGTACTGTGCCAGTTGGCTGGCGATGTACGAAAGGTCGGGTCGGCATGTGACAGATGCGAACAGCAGGCAGCCCAGCTGCTGCTGGTACAGTTGGAGCCCCGCGGGGGACAAAGGTTTGTTGTCTGGTTTGTAGTTGGTGCTGGGGCTGCGGTATGGAGTTGAGAGTGGTGCGCGTGAGATGTTGAACCGTTCTCCCAGCTGCTCTGCGTATTTTGAAGCTGACAGATGAATTGCTTCTGGCGCGTAGGTGATGTTCAGGCCCAGAAACTGGGTGACGTTGTGGTTGGTGGTAATGTCCACGCGCTTCGCCAAGTTTTCTTCGAACTGGGTAAGAAGCGTGTTGCAGGTGCCAGTGTAGAGCAGGTCGTCGACGTAGACGGTGAGGAGGATGTAATCGCCGTTGAAGTGGAGGCGGTACATTCCCGGGTCGTGCGGCAGCTGCCTGAAGCCGATTTCCAGTAGAATTTTGTGCAGGTGCTGCTGCCAGAGACGAGGCGCCTGCTTAATCCCATAGAGGGATTTCTTCAACTGGCAGACCCTGGGATCTCCTTCTCCGTAGGTGTGTGGTTGCTCCACGAAAATGGTTGCATCCACCAACGCATATAGGAATGCGTTCTTCACGTCGATCTGTCGCAGTGGTAGATGCTTAGCAGCCGCTATGGCGAGTAGGATTCTGACGGAGGTGTGACGGCTGACAGGAGCGAAAGTTTGGTCGAAGTCGATGCCGTGGCGTTGGTCGTAGCCTCGGACCACCCATCGTGCCTTGAAGCGCTCAATGGTTCCGTCAGCGTTAGTCTTGAGCCGAAAAACCCACTTCCCGCTGAGCACCCTCCTCCCCTTCACTGCTGCACGATCGACGAGAACCCAGGTGTCACGGGACTCCAGCGCTTTCAGTTCGGCGTCCATAGCTGCACGCCATTCTTTGGCGTGCGGGCCGGTGAGGGCTTGGCGCGGGTTCTTTGGTTCAACAGCGCGAGCTATGGCGGAGACGGAGGTGTGGAGCCCGAGAAGCTGCAGGCCGGAGACGTTCGCGGTTTCCGCAGTGTCAGTGATGGGGACCTCCACCACGTCATCATCATCGCTGTCGTGTCCATGTGAGGAAGTGCTGGGGGCAGTTTCGCGGCGGGTTGGTCCAGGGGTAGGTGCGTCATCGCTGTCGTCGTCGTCATCGTCCGAGCGAGGGCGAGGCGGAATGCCAGGATGATCGTCGGTGTCGTCGCGATCGAAGGCTGCTGCTGCTGCTTCATCCTCGGGAGATGCAAAGCTGCGGCCGCTGTTGACATAGCCGCGAGCTTGGTTACGTTGCTCGTCCTCGATCCACTGCTTCAAGGTGAGTCTTTCGTAGAAGAGGATGTCACGCGCGGGAACAATCTCCTTGCTGTCGACGTCGAGAATGAGCCACCCCTTGTGCTCGTTGCTGAGCCCCAGATGAACTCCCCAGCGTGCGCGCTGAGCAAACTTGCCAATGTTTGCTGAAGTTGGCCGATACTGCACCATGCACCCCCAAACCCTCAACATGGAGGGATCTCCCCTTGAGCCGGTCCACTTCATGTGCGGGGAAAGGTTGTCCCTGTTGGCCGTGGTGGAGAGGAGGTTGTAAAGGCGCACCGCGTGGTTCATGGCGTAAGGCCAAAACTTCTTGGGGAGGCAGGACTGATTCATGAGAGCGCGCACTTTTGTCATGAGGGTGCGATTTACCCTCTCTGCGACTCCTTGCTGCTGATGAGCGTAGGGGAGAGAGATCTCATGCTTGATCCCCTTTTCGGTGAGGACGCTTTCCAGCTCGTGGCTGCGGAACTCCTTGGCGCCATCACTCTGCCAGATTTTCAGCTTCCTCCCTGACTGTCGCTGTGCGTGTGCGAGCCAGATCCGGAAGACTTCTGGAGCCTTGGACCGTGCGTCGACGTTGGCAATCCAGACGTAGCGTGAGTAGGCGTCGATGAAGGTCAGCGTGTATTTTTCGCCGTTGAGTCCGTCGCAGGTACTATGAAGTCGCTGTACACCTTCTGTAATTTCTTGTAGCGGTTGGTGCTTGGCTCCAGTGAA